TTGGTCAGGAAGGGGGGGGGGGGGGGGGGTAATTCAAAGGTCAAAGTCTAGGTCAACGTCTAAGGAAGCCTATGCCTAGTGCCCTACTGTCTACACCTATTGAATAAGAACCCGTGCCTTTGGATATAACTGGCAGGTATGAAAGCCTGATCCTATGGAGAGGATTCTTTGAAAAAGGGGGGTCGGGCAGTTCAGTGCCAGATTTTCAGTGTGGGATTTTTAGTGTGGGACAGTCAGGGACAATTGATCACTCGACATTTGGTCACTGGGACAATTGATCACAGGACATTTGATCACTGGACATTTGATCACTGGACATTTGATCACTGGGACAATTGATCACTGGACAATTGATCATTGGACATTTGATGACAGGGACAATTGATCACTGGACAAATGATCATTGGGACAGAGATCACTGGACATTTGATCACTGGGACATTTGATCATTGGGACAATTGATCATTGTACATTTTGGTCAGGAAGGGGGGGGGGGGTAATTCAAAGGTCAAAGTCTAGGTCAACGTCTAAGGAAGCCTATGCCTAGTGCCCTACTGTCTACACCTATTGAATAAGAACCCGTGCCTTTGGATATAACTGGCAGGTATGAAAGCCTGATCCTATGGAGAGGATTCTTTGAAAAAGGGGGGTCGGGCAGTTCAGTGCCAGATTTTCAGTGTGGGATTTTTAGTGTGGGACAGTCAGGGACAATTGATCACTCGACATTTGGTCACTGGGACAATTGATCACAGGACATTTGATCACTGGACATTTGATCACTGGACATTTGATCACTGGGACAATTGATCACTGGACAATTGATCATTGGACATTTGATGACAGGGACAATTGATCACTGGACAAATGATCATTGGGACAGAGATCACTGGACATTTGATCACTGGGACATTTGATCATTGGGACAATTGATCATTGTACATTTTGGTCAGGAAGGGAGGGGGGTAATTCAAAGGTCAAAGTCTAGGTCAACGTCTAAGGAAGCCTATGCCTAGTGCCCTACTGTCTACACCTATTGAATAAGAACCCGTGCCTTTGGATATAACTGGCAGGTATGAAAGCCTGATCCTATGGAGAGGATTCTTTGAAAAAGGGGGGTCGGGCAGTTCAGTGCCAGATTTTCAGTGTGGGATTTTTAGTGTGGGACAGTCAGGGACAATTGATCACTCGACATTTGGTCACTGGGACAATTGATCACAGGACATTTGATCACTGGACATTTGATCACTGGACATTTGATCACTGGGACAATTGATCACTGGACAATTGATCATTGGACATTTGATGACAGGGACAATTGATCACTGGACAAATGATCATTGGGACAGAGATCACTGGACATTTGATCACTGGGACATTTGATCATTGGGACAATTGATCATTGTACATTTTGGTCAGGAAGGGGGGGGGGGGGGGGGGGTAATTCAAAGGTCAAAGTCTAGGTCAACGTCTAAGGAAGCCTATGCCTAGTGCCCTACTGTCTACACCTATTGAATAAGAACCCGTGCCTTTGGATATAACTGGCAGGTATGAAAGCCTGATCCTATGGAGAGGATTCTTTGAAAAAGGGGGGTCGGGCAGTTCAGTGCCAGATTTTCAGTGTGGGATTTTTAGTGTGGGACAGTCAGGGACAATTGATCACTCGACATTTGGTCACTGGGACAATTGATCACAGGACATTTGATCACTGGACATTTGATCACTGGACATTTGATCACTGGGACAATTGATCACTGGACAATTGATCATTGGACATTTGATGACAGGGACAATTGATCACTGGACAAATGATCATTGGGACAGAGATCACTGGACATTTGATCACTGGGACATTTGATCATTGGGACAATTGATCATTGTACATTTTGGTCAGGAAGGGGGGGGGGGGTAATTCAAAGGTCAAAGTCTAGGTCAACGTCTAAGGAAGCCTATGCCTAGTGCCCTACTGTCTACACCTATTGAATAAGAACCCGTGCCTTTGGATATAACTGGCAGGTATGAAAGCCTGATCCTATGGAGAGGATTCTTTGAAAAAGGGGGGTCGGGCAGTTCAGTGCCAGATTTTCAGTGTGGGATTTTTAGTGTGGGACAGTCAGGGACAATTGATCACTCGACATTTGGTCACTGGGACAATTGATCACAGGACATTTGATCACTGGACATTTGATCACTGGACATTTGATCACTGGGACAATTGATCACTGGACAATTGATCATTGGACATTTGATGACAGGGACAATTGATCACTGGACAAATGATCATTGGGACAGAGATCACTGGACATTTGATCACTGGGACATTTGATCATTGGGACAATTGATCATTGTACATTTTGGTCAGGAAGGGGGGGGGGGGGGGGTAATTCAAAGGTCAAAGTCTAGGTCAACGTCTAAGGAAGCCTATGCCTAGTGCCCTACTGTCTACACCTATTGAATAAGAACCCGTGCCTTTGGATATAACTGGCAGGTATGAAAGCCTGATCCTATGGAGAGGATTCTTTGAAAAAGGGGGGTCGGGCAGTTCAGTGCCAGATTTTCAGTGTGGGATTTTTAGTGTGGGACAGTCAGGGACAATTGATCACTCGACATTTGGTCACTGGGACAATTGATCACAGGACATTTGATCACTGGACATTTGATCACTGGACATTTGATCACTGGGACAATTGATCACTGGACAATTGATCATTGGACATTTGATGACAGGGACAATTGATCACTGGACAAATGATCATTGGGACAGAGATCACTGGACATTTGATCACTGGGACATTTGATCATTGGGACAATTGATCATTGTACATTTTGGTCAGGAAGGGAGGGGGGTAATTCAAAGGTCAAAGTCTAGGTCAACGTCTAAGGAAGCCTATGCCTAGTGCCCTACTGTCTACACCTATTGAATAAGAACCCGTGCCTTTGGATATAACTGGCAGGTATGAAAGCCTGATCCTATGGAGAGGATTCTTTGAAAAAGGGGGGTCGGGCAGTTCAGTGCCAGATTTTCAGTGTGGGATTTTTAGTGTGGGACAGTCAGGGACAATTGATCACTCGACATTTGGTCACTGGGACAATTGATCACAGGACATTTGATCACTGGACATTTGATCACTGGACATTTGATCACTGGGACAATTGATCACTGGACAATTGATCATTGGACATTTGATGACAGGGACAATTGATCACTGGACAAATGATCATTGGGACAGAGATCACTGGACATTTGATCACTGGGACATTTGATCATTGGGACAATTGATCATTGTACATTTTGGTCAGGAAGGGGGGGGGGGGGGGGGGGTAATTCAAAGGTCAAAGTCTAGGTCAACGTCTAAGGAAGCCTATGCCTAGTGCCCTACTGTCTACACCTATTGAATAAGAACCCGTGCCTTTGGATATAACTGGCAGGTATGAAAGCCTGATCCTATGGAGAGGATTCTTTGAAAAAGGGGGGTCGGGCAGTTCAGTGCCAGATTTTCAGTGTGGGATTTTTAGTGTGGGACAGTCAGGGACAATTGATCACTCGACATTTGGTCACTGGGACAATTGATCACAGGACATTTGATCACTGGACATTTGATCACTGGACATTTGATCACTGGGACAATTGATCACTGGACAATTGATCATTGGACATTTGATGACAGGGACAATTGATCACTGGACAAATGATCATTGGGACAGAGATCACTGGACATTTGATCACTGGGACATTTGATCATTGGGACAATTGATCATTGTACATTTTGGTCAGGAAGGGGGGGGGGGGTAATTCAAAGGTCAAAGTCTAGGTCAACGTCTAAGGAAGCCTATGCCTAGTGCCCTACTGTCTACACCTATTGAATAAGAACCCGTGCCTTTGGATATAACTGGCAGGTATGAAAGCCTGGTCTGGAATTCATCTGGGAGTTTGTTCTAAAAAAGTCTGAATTTTTAGAAAAAAGAGGTTGTTTTTTTGGATTGTTTTGGAGTTTAGGAGTATCTGAAGCTCTCGGAGCTTGGAAGATTGGGTAAACCCGGGGTAGGGAGAGGTGGGCCCACCCAAACCCATTTTTAACCAACAAAAAAAATTATGTGATAAAAAATTCCACTTGTAAAGAAAAGGCCTTTTTGCTTTCTTCTAAACGAATCCGCAAAAATCCTTTTTTTACAAGTGGCTTAATTGTGCTTTTCCGTTTTTCCATCTAAGAATCCTGCTGTTTTAAAACATTTTGTACTTGAAAAAAATAAAACAAAAAAAATTCGACGCAAACGGAAAAGCACTAAAAAATAATAAAAAACATATTATATTCAAATATCTTTTAGACCTCAAAATGTGGCGGAAGCATCTTTGCCACATTTTTAGCTTCTCTCATCCTTGTAATTCATCATCAATTTGTTGCAGTCCAATGATCATCAAGAACACTTCTCACAACACTTCTATACACTTCTTCAGTACTTCTTGTTTGTAGCTGCTGGTGTTTCAGAGCCGACAGCCATACATGTACCAGGATTGTTTGTTGCTCCAGCATCATCTATGTACATAATACCTTTAAAATTAAAAATGCAAAATTTAGAGGAATTATTATGAGAATTAATCCATCTATTTCCTCCTAACCCCGCGATACCCGCATATCACTCCTCATCCGCTGATATCCTTCCTAATTCATCCGATGTCCCGACGAAATATTCATTTCCTTGTCACCAGGAGACAGGAGAAACTAGAAAATGCCGACCCCCTTCCACCTACCGTTCAATGCCCCAGTACAGGTGAGAAATTTAAAAAATATTTCTCATTGCAAAGAATAAAAAAGAGAAAATATCATACCAGCTCCAGCTCAAAGCATTCCACCAGGCATACCTCCAGGCATTCCAGCACATCCCGCAGATTGATAAAGGTTCGAGATGATCGGATTGCAAATAGCTTCCAATTCCTTGTGATGATGCTCAAATCCTTCCTTCTCAGCAGTCTGGTTGGCGTCTAACCAAGAGAGCGTTTCCTATCATTTGTCCAAAACCTTCTTCTTATCGTCCTCGCTAATCTTATCCTTGAGCTGAAAATTTTTTTGCAAAATTAAAGTTTCCCTTATTATGGACCCTGCCGGATTCAAAAAACGAAGGACCCAAATTCAATCAATCCCCCAACAAAAGACAACCCAGTAGTGCTCCCAAGTCACCCCAAAACAGTAAATCCAGCCCCATCTCATCACTGCTCCAATCCTCCCAACAGAACCCTCCACCCTATCCCCAAACAAAACATCCAATCCCTTAACACGAAAACCCATCCCTAAGACACCAAAGCCCAGCTTTATCCCTCAAAATCAACAAACCTTATCTTCCTCAATTGTCTTCTTGATGTTAGAGCAGTAAGACTCAAGTCCATTCTTAGCCGAAACACGATCACGCTGAATTTCATCCTCGCCACGATATTTCTCAGCCTCATGGACCATACGCTCAATCTCATCTTAGGAAAGAAGTCCCTTGTCATTAGTGATGGTGATCTTGTTTTGCTTTCCAGTCGATTTGTCTTGCGCAGAAACATTCAAAATTCCATTGGCGTCAATTTCAAAAGTGACTTCGATTTGAGGAACACCACGAGGAGCAGGAGAAATTCCACTCATCTCAAACTTGGCCAACAAGTTGTTGTCCTTAGTCATAGCACGTTCACCTTCATAGATCTTTAAAAAATTTCAAAATTTTCCAAAAAATTTTCAAAATTTTTTCCAACCTGAATAAGAACACCAGGCTGGTTGTCAGAATAGGTAGTGAACGTTTGAGAAGTCTTGGTTGGAATAGTCGTGTTTCTCTTCATTAACGGAGTCATGACACCTCCAGCAGTTTCAATTCCCAACGAGAGTGGGACAACGTCCAAAAGAAGAAGATCCTTTGAAAAAAAATTTTTTCAAGTTTTCCCTTCCAAAAACCCCCCAAAAAATATACCTGAACATTCTCAGACTTATCGCCAGACAAAATTGCAGCCTGAACTGCAGCTCCATAGGCGACAGCTTCGTCCGGGTTGATGCTCATGTTAAGTTCTTTGCCAGAAAAGAAGTCAGACAGAAGCTTCTGGACTTTTGGATTTCGATTCGAGCCTCCAACCAAAACAATGTCATGAATCTGAGACTTGTCCATCTTAGCATCACGAATTGATTTCTCAACTGGATCCATAGTACTGCGGAACAAATCGGCGCAAAGCTCTTCAAAACGTGCTCGAGTGATGTTGGTGTAGAAATCGATTCCATCAAAGAGAGAGTCAATCTCAATGCTAAAATCAATTCAAGTTAAGGCCAAAAAAAATTTTTCAAAAATAACCTCGCTTGAGTAGAGCTAGACAAAGTCCTCTTAGCGCGTTCACAAACAGTACGAAGACGACGGAGAGCACGAGGATTGGTGGTAAGGTCCTTCTTGTGCTTACGTTTGAACTCAGCAACAAAATGGTTGACCTTTAAAAAAATATTTTCAGTTGAGAAAGCCTCAAAAACTCCAAACCATTCGATTGTCAAAGTTTTCGCCTCCAAGGTGAGTGTCTCCAGCAGTCGACTTAACCTCAAAAATACCATCTTCAATAGTCAAGATTGACACATCAAACGTTCCACCGCCCAAGTCAAAAATCAGAACATTTCGCTCGCCTTGACCCTTCTTATCCAAACCATAAGCAATGGCCGCAGCAGTTGGCTCGTTAATGATACGCAAAACATTAAGTCCAGAAATCGTTCCAGCATCCTTTGTGGCTTGGCGTTGACTGTCGTTGAAGTACGCAGGCACAGTGATGACAGCGTCTTTAACGGTTTGTCCCAAAAACGCCTCAGCCGTTTCCTTCATTTTAGTCAAAACCATGGCGGAGACTTCCTTAAAAACCAGAAAATTGAACTCAAACCAAATAAAATCCAAATCAAACCTCAGGGAAGAACGCCTTCATTTCTCCTTTAACCTCCACTTGGATTTTTGGATGAGCACCTTCTCCTTGGATAACCTTGGACGGCCGATGTTTCATGTCCGATTGAAATGCAGGGTCATCGAATTTACGACCAATCAAGCGTTTCGCGTCTGAAAATGATTTTTGACTTGTTTATCAAAAAATAAAAGAAAATACCAACAGTGTTCGACGGATTCATTGCCAACTGATTTTTAGCAGCGTCACCAATCAGACGTCGTGTCCGTGAAAGCCACATAAGATGGAGTTGAGCGATTTTCTGAAGAAATAAAGTTAGAACGCGTAACCTCGTCGAGAAAACAAACCTTGATCATTAGCAATGATTTCATCTTTTCCATGCTGGAATACACCGACACAGGAATAAGTTGTTTCCAGATCAATTCCGACAGCGTTAGCTTTAGACATTTTTAAAAGATTTTTTTAATGATAGCTGAAAAACAAGAAAAGTTTAGACGATTAGGATTTTTTAGAAGTTTAGGTTAGTCAGATAGCGCTCATGTTAAAATATGAAAATGGTGTAATTACATATGTAAAACATAAAAATCAATCAAATCTGCGAAAAAGGTAAAAGGTCATTAACAATAACAACTAGAAAATGAAAATCTCCGAAAACTAATGAAAATCGATAAGTGACGCCAAATGAATTTGAACTAAATATCAACGCAAATTAATTCTGTTAATTTAATTTTGGAAAATGTCAAAGTGTCATTTGTTGTTATTCTGTCAATTACTCGAAAAAATGGAGTAAAAAATTTTCAGAGCCTAAAGAATTTCAAAATTTCGTTTAGGTAGATTTTTTGAAAAATAGTTGAGATGTACCCATCTCAGGAAAGACCCAAAGAGTCGTGATACCCGCATTTCTACTTCTTATTTTTTAATTTTTGAAAATTAATAATTGCTTTTTAGATGGTTAACAAAAGAAAATTTACTGAAGTTAAATCTACATTTTCTATAAATGAATGTTTCAATTCTTTTAAAAGGCCACGCACCGATTCTTTTAAAAAATCGAATTTTATTGATCAATTTAATCAGTTTCGCTCAACACTCTGTTCTGATGAGGAAATTGACATTAATTTGTTCAAAAGACTTTATGATTTTTTTCAAAAGAATATTTACAATGTATGTTTACTTTATAGTAACTTTTTATAATCTTTTTTTAATTTTAGTCGAAATTTATCTCTCAAATTGGTCCACTTTGTGATATTATGTTTGTTACTAATTTACTGAGTTGTTATAATTGCACTCTGAATCAAACCGACTTATTAATTTTTGATATTTTGGTGTTACTGGAAAATAAATTGAATGTCAATTTAAGGTTTTTTACATTTAAATTTCATTATTCTAATTTTAAAGTTTGATATCTCCTCTTGTTTTTGGTAAATCTTCCAAAAAATATTATAATGATTTAATTTTTTATGGAAATATTTTACATAAAAAATTGACTCCTGAACAGGTTTTTTTTGTTTTCTTTACGATATTATTTTTAATCGTGATCTTTTTTATTATTGTGTTTAAATTTATGTTAATTTAAATTTTTAAAGGTTTTAGAATATTTTGACCAAAAAGTTATGTGGGATACTTTAACAAAAATGACTAGGTTTCATCATAAAAAGACAAAAAGAAATCGAAGAGTAATTAAGGCTGACGAAAAATGTTATGATCCACGCTTTGTTTTGCGTTCCCTTTTACAAATAGTGGAAATGGATCTAAAGGTTGTTTCATTTTTTTACTTTTTTGGACAATTATTTTTTAAATACCCAGTTCAATTGTAAAATTATGATATCTTCAAATGCTCTATCGTTTTGCTTTGCCTCAACAAGCTTTTACGATTCTACTCTTCGATCACTTGCTTATACTGTTTTACAAAATTTTCAAAAAAGATTAAAGCAACAGAATGAACATTTTCGGCAAAAACTTCTTTTTGGATTTTTTATCGATTTTTTCAAAAATAGTATTCTTACAGTAAATCAGAAGGCATGTCAATGTAAGAATAGTTCAATAAATCTCATTATATTAATGTTTGGGTTTACTTGACAAAAATTTAAAAAATCAAACTCCAATTATGTATAATGAGGATTTTGTCATGTAAACCTAAATAATAACCAACATTTTAAATATTAATTTTTTTATTTTCAGTTGCCAGTCAATTCTTTGCCAGATATTCAAAAATAGCCTTAACACCAACAAATCCATTGTATTCACCTTTAACTTCTTTTTTCATTCAAAAACCTTTTATGGATTTAGAATCTGTTCCGGAATTTTCAAAATTATTTTTTAGTTCATCTTCAGAAAATTGTAGAGAAGAGAGGCGTTGGATGCTTAGACTTATTGATGATTCTATTCTTGATTTTAATGATTATCAAATATTGGGAAAAATGTAAGAAAAGAAGGAATTTTTTTATCTATTCAATGAATCCGTCCCTGAAGACCTACAACTTTTGAAAGTGAATATTTATCGAGGAATTAAGGAGATATCGATAGATTTAATGTGATTCAGGGGGATAAAGATTTCTACACCCAGTGTTATTGTATACAATCATAATACCACACCATAGATTCTAAAATACTGGACTTGGTACTTGCATATAGTTAATATAATCCTCGATATAAAGGTTGTATGCAGGTCTTCAGAGTCAATAGCCTGACCTTTATTTAAACTTTATTCTAAAAAAATTTTTTAGTTATGCAATAGAATCATTTATGGGTATGTTCTGTACTCCAATGGCAGATTTATGGAATAAATTAATTTTACTAAAAATTTTTCGTTCATATGTTGAACTTCAAGCAAAAGATTTGTTTACGCGGTTGGATTTTGATACTTGGTTAACAAATGCAATTTATGTAATTAATTACCGCTTTTAATTTTCTTTTTTTTTATTTTTTAGCATTCAAGAACAACAATAAAAGAGAAGCTCGAATTAACTTCAATTTTTAATGAGCTAGTTAATCATTTAAAAAAAGGCTTTTTTGATCATTCAAAGATAGAGAAAAATGAAAATAAATTAAATGTTAATCTTGAAAGAAGAAAACAACTTTCATTAACTAAATTAAAAATAAATAAACAAAAGGTTTTTAATTTTATCATGGATTTTAAATTTAATTTATTTTTAGATAGTTGAATATTTAAGAACTAATTTATGTTTTGATATCGAAAATGATGTAAGAAGAAGAGACGAAATTGTTTTAGAATTATTAGATAATGAATTATTTAAGTGAAACAAAAATTGTTCATTTTTTACATTATTTTTTGTTACTCTACATATTTATGTTATTGTTGTCTTAATTTTAAAAATAAAGTTTATTCTTAATTAATCACATCGAATTGACCACCCTTGAATATAAATTCCCTCCTTACAATGTCAATGATTCGGTGGCATTTTGCAAGGTAAATCATTCATAAGAGAAAACAGGATTTTAATAATCTAAAGCTCAACATGACAAAATATTTAAAGAAAACACGAGAGAAAAACTAGTATGGGTGTTAATTGCGGATATATTAGTGATATGCCCAAGGGGTGATAAAACTGAAAAGCTATTTTCTTTTATTGTCTGATACTAATTTGATTTTAGAGAAATTTGTTTTTTGTCTCCGGTTTTGTATCTAGAATATGTAGTTTATAAGTTGTTAGGAGGTTGGGACTTTAAAAATTTATGATTTGAAAATATTTTTGAATACCAATTCAACACTAGTTCTAAAGTAGGATGACAGATTTACGTCTAAGAAACATGTAAGCACGTAATGTAAAGACTAACTACATATATCACAGAGTAAAAATGTGATACCGAGAAATAGCAATCTTTTCAAGAGTCGCTTAATTTATTCAAATTTAATTAAAAATAATCAGCTGATATGTAGAAGCTGTAGTATTTTAAATTTAATAATGAATCCTTTTAAGTATACAAAAAATAGCTAAGGACAATAATATATCTTTATGAGCATTTTGATCATTTTTAACAACAAATATAAATGTATTGCTAATTTTTTTGTTGGCAGGAAGGAGAACAAAATAAAACTCGAGCGTCTAATTGTTAGGTCAATTGTTCAAAACTTATAACTATTAATATAAGATCAGTTAATTTTCTCGATTTGATTCATTTAAAGGTTATAAGTTTTAAACATTGCTGAGATGGTACAATCTAAAGTGTGTCCAAATAAAAGCAAAAAGATAAACTTTTAACGTCGAGTTCCATCTTCGAAGAAGACTCCACCATCTATTGCACAATATTTTGGGCAGATTCCCTTCTCTCCTGGTGTTCCTGCCTGTCCAATTGGTCCTGGAGGGCCAGGTGTTCCATCTGATCCTGGCGATCCTTCTGGTCCTTGTTCTCCTTTTGGTCCTGGAGGTCCAAGAGGCCCATCAGCACCTGGTGGTCCTGGAGGTCCAGGTGGACCAGGGGCGCCTAAATAACAATAAAAAATTTTTGTTAATTTTGATTTGAATTTTACCAATATCTCCAGGCTCTCCAGGTTCTCCTGGTACGGGTGCTTCAGGTGTAGCTGGTGTTCCAGGTTCACCAGGGGGTCCTTGCGGTCCAGGCTCTCCAGGTGGTCCTGGCGGCCCTCGTGGACCAGGTTCGCCATTTGGTGCATCAGTTCCAGGTCTGCCAGGTGTTCCGGCCTCACCAGGCTCTCCAGGTGGTCCAGGGGGTCCTGGAGGGCCGGGCGGTCCTTGTGGGCATGGTTTGCATGGTGGTGGTGTTGCTGGTTCGCATGGAGAGACTGGCGGTTTGCCCGGCGTGCCAGGCGTCCCAGGAGCTCCAGGTTTTCCTGGCTTTCCACTCTTTCCAGGTGGGCCTTGAGGTCCAGGTTGGCCAGGTAGACAACAGTCTCCACATGTAGGTGGCGCGTTCACTACAGGAGCATATCCACCAGCTTGACGTGCTGTTCGATTTTTGGCACCCCCCATTTCTGCAGTTTTCATGTGTGCTACTTCGACATAAATATCTTTTGCTGAACCCTGTTAAAATGTTTAAATTAATTTGAGTTAATTTTTAATTAAAGTTAATCCTGAGATTGTTGAGTAACATTGGTTGGGAAAATGTTTTAATCCTTGTATGTATAATAAATTGTAAATACATAACGGCTAAAAACTTGTAAAATAGAAATTATTGACACGGTTAGAATCAGAATTATCTAGAAATTAATCAGAGTCCAGCCAGAAAAGTCAGAATTTAAGTTAGAAACATGCCTTGCAAAAGCCCAATTCATGCTGCATTTGTCTCCGTACATGAGCTACATAATTATAAACCATTGGTAGAGTGATTACAACAGAGAGGACAGCAACTACGGAAAAAGCAACAGCCGAATAGGCCACAAATTTGTAAGCCTTGATTCTGCTATCTGTTTCGACCATCCCTCTTTCAACTTAAATTTTACGGATTTACTAGTTGGAAATTGAAAAATTATTTATAAAACAAAGCAACAAAATAAATAATTGGCCTAATTTAATATTTTAATAAAACTGAAAAGCTGATTTATAGCAAACTAGTAGGCTTTAAGGAAAATAAATTAATTTTTGAATAAATTTTGAAGTTTCTTAAGAGGAAATTGTAAATAAAAAATTTTAAAAAGCTTTGGAATAATTTATTAATTGACTGAAATATGTAACTAAAAATAAATCCATCTTTATTTTTAGCTATTATTAGCTTCATCTCTATTAAAAATGAATAAAACAAAATAGCGCAAAAATAGACTTCATCTTCTGCTAAATAGGTCCGTAAATCGAGCGGGTTAAGTACTGCCTTTGGGCGAACAAAAAGAGTGATGATGGGCGTTTAATAGTTGTTAGTAGTACGCCATCGGCCAGCTTTAACTTTTTTAGCTTATTTACAAACAAGTTACTACTATTCTTAAGTTGTCCAGCAACGAACAAGAAAAAAATACGATAAACGTTAGCGATTAATAGAAAGAAGGAAGCGGTTTTGAAGAAATTGGAGGAAGAGATATTGGTAATGATGAAAGGAGGAAGATGAAGAAAGGAAGGAAAAAATATCAGGATCATATGGTTTTGGAGTGGTTTTTTGGAGGGAAAAGTAGGATTGAGTGGCGTGGGAGGAAGTTGACAAAAAGCATCGGAAAAGCATAGAAAAAAAAGTCAACTGCTCCCTCTTTCTATTTCTCTCCATATATCTTCGGGAAGTACGGCAACAAAAGGAAATCAACGAGGGAAAAAATAAAAAGAAGCAACTTCCTCTATGCAGAAATTAACCAAATCACCTCCAAACGCCGATAACCATCAATGTTATTTTATCTTTCAAAAACTCTTCTCGGCCAAAACTTTATAAAAAATTTTGTTCTGTCAATCTCTTCTTCTTAATTATATATTTATATATTATTGTGGTTTTCTCAAAAATTCTTTTAAAGCTGGTCATCTATGCGGGTGATGGAGCAGTTAGTTGGAGAGATAAAAAGAAAATCTCGTTATTTATAAGAATTTATCTAAAAAATATTCGTGTGGGCTTAATATAAATAAATATCTCTCTGATGAACACGAATTGACATTAGACAATAAAAATGTGATAAAATGGAGGAAATATTAATTGTATGAATTGTATTTAAAAGTAAATTAATTTTTATCTTATTTGATTATTATGGCAGAAATTGATCAATTTATTTGAAAATTTAAAAAAGAAACAAATTGTTTCGTGAACAGACAATTGTGTTAGATCAAATAAATAGACTGATAAAATTTAAGTAAAAAATTTAGAATATACATATACATATTAAAGAAATTATAGAAAATAAACTTAAAATTAAAAAATTAAATAACTTGAGAATTATAATAATACAATTAATACAATATTTAGAGCTTGTTTTTTTTATTTTTTATTATCCTTTCCTATTATCCTAATGACAATTCATTTTAATAAAACAATTAATTTTTAATACATATTCACTAATAATTGGCCACTAGACAAAATATAGATATAAATTAGCTTGATAAAAATTTATATAAAAAATTACTAATTTAGTAAAACAGGATTTTCATTATACATATACTATCTAAACAAGAAAGAAAATAAATAACTGTACATATGCATTGTGTATCATATATTGCAATCACAAAAGACAACATAAGCGGGAAAATCTTAAAACTCAAAATTCATAATCGAAGTTTCACTGCCCCTCTGCTCCATTCTGGAACTTAGCCACGAAATGTTCATGTTTAATTTATGTTAGTTGAGGAAAAAATGATAAATGTTAAATAATTCATCAATAAATATAGAAATTTTCCTAATTTTAACAAAAAAATATTCTTCATACTATGTATATAAGGCTTTTGGTGATCTTTCAAACTGTTATCCTTTCTAGATTTTTACCATTTCTGCGCAAATTCATGAAGGCGCCCTAGCAGGGTCAATTTAATGACGGAAAGAAATTTGAAAAGAGGAAATAAATAAAAATAAACTAAAGTTAAACGACAGCGCAATAATTAAAAAAAGGAAAAACGAAGTGACCGCTTTCAATTTCTAATTTCTTTAGTTAAATGACCAAAAATATTTTCGATTATACACATAAGTATTTCACAAATTAGAAAGATAAAATCGCAAAAAAAGTTTTAAAAAATTTCATTTTCCTTAAACTATTTTGTAATTTCCTTCTTTTTAGAAGAAAAACTTGCTTTTTAAATCAAAAATAGAGGGTATATAAATATTTAAATTAACATCTAATATTTTCATTTATAATTTTTTACCTAATAAAAGAAGATATTAAATATATAACTTAATTTAATTCAGCATACAGTCTTAATTTTTTTAATCATCCAGTTTTAATTGGAGATGATTATTTAACATAAAGGGTGAAAAGAATTAACACGGAAACATGAGGCCCAAGAAGCGGGAATCGGCGGGTGTAGGAAAACGGTTGCCCATCATAAAGTTTAATAGAAACTTAACAAGCTTTAATTTATCTTCTATATTCTTAATAATTTAGAATTTTAAGAAAATGACCATTACAAGTATGGGATGTAATTCTATAGAATTAGGAAAAGGAGATAGCAAAATCAAGGCCTACAAATTTGTGGCCTATTCGGCTGTTGCTTTCTCTGTGATTGCTGTTCTCTCTGTTGTAATTACTTTACCAATGGTTTATAATTATGTAGCACATGTACGGAGACAAATGCAGCATGAATTGGGCTTTTGCAAGGCAAGTTGTTTTGTTTTAATATTTTAAAACTGAAATTAATTTAAGAGTTCTGCCAAAGATATTTATATAGAAGTTGGGCATATGAGATCATTTACTGCAGAAAACTTAGGTAAAAATCGAACAACACGTCAAGCTAGCAATCAAGCAGCTGGAGGATACTCTTCTCAAATTAATCCAACACCTACATGTGGAGAATGCTGTATTCCTGGTCAACCTGGACCTCAAGGTCCGCCCGGAAAGAGTGGAAGGCCTGGAAAACCTGGAGCTCCTGGGACACCTGGCACACCAGGAAAGCCACCGACAGCACCATGTGAGCCTACAACACCTCCACCATGCAAACCATGTCCTCAAGGACCACCCGGCCCTCCAGGCCCCCCAGGCTCACCTGGAGATCCTGGAGAGGCCGGAACACCTGGCAGACCAGGAACTGATGCACCTCCTGGATCGCCTGGCCCGAGAGGACCTCCTGGACCAGCTGGAGAACCTGGACCACAAGGACCACCTGGCGAACCTGGCGTTCCTGCACAAAGTGAGCCGCTTGTACCTGGTGAACCTGGAGAGATGGGAGATCCAGGTGAGCGAAGCAAATATATTACAGGATGATTAATAAACTTCGATGTGATTTAATGACAAATTTAATTGTCATCCTGTATATAAGTAAATGAGATGAGATATCCAAAATAATGTCAAATCCATCATTTAAGGCCCGCCCGGACCACCAGGTCCTCCAGGACCACAAGGAGCTGATGGCCCACCTGGACCAGCTGGACCAAAAGGAGAACCAGGCCCAGATGGACAACCTGGCTCAGATGGAATGCCTGGGCCCCCAGGAATAGCTGGTCAAGCAGGTCAAGCAGGAGAAAAAGGAATATGTCCCAAGTACTGTGCAATTGATGGTGGCGTATTCTTTGAGGATGGCACTAGACGATGATTTCTTTAAAAAGTATTAAGAAGAGAAAATATCAAAAATTATTCCCAACAAAAATTTGACATTCCTCACGGCTAATAACTGTTATCTTTTATTTTGTATAGTAATTTAATTAAAAAATTAGTTTTGTAACTTTTTAAAGATATAAGAAATGGGAAGTCTGAAATGTTAGCATAATTGCTGACTTTCGGTAGAATTGTCATTAGCAACGACTGGGTAGAATAGAAAATAAAAAGCGAAGTTTTTGAGACTCCCTCATAATTTAATGAATAAATATAGAGAATAAGAGTAAATAGATTTAACTGGAATATTAAATCAAATAGGTATATTTATAAATTAGTATTATAAATTACTTATCTGCAGAATCATTAATAAAAGAATACATATTAATAAGGAGCTCAAAACTTCCGAAATAAAAGAAAAAGGTTTTAATTACATAATTAAACTCAAATTTATTTAAATAGACTATATAATCTTCATTTTATGTTAGGAAGTTTTTACAATTTTTTATTTAATTTGATAAGTATATTAATACATAATAGATTGAAGGCACTAAATAATATATAAATAAGTAACAAATCTTTGTAAAAAGAGAGACAAGTAAAACCATAAGATGAACGGTCGTCAAAATATGTGGAAATATATTTGGGCAAGATTCAGCCATACAGAGACATGGTTGAATCTACATATAGATGAAAAATATAAATGAAAAATATAAAATAAATATAAGCTTTAAAAATGTCCAAAATTTAAAAACATCCAAAAGCAATTCGAGGTTAAAACAAATTTAGAAGGCATAAAATTTATAAATGTTCAAAAACTCTACTTACCTCCCTAGAGCTAAGCACGAAGCTCGCAATTAGCAATCCTGAATAAATTGACAAAAGAATGATTGTTGGAACATAGTTTATTGCATATAAAATAACGGTAAAGTTGACTATTATTGAAACAGTGCTATTAAACCAATAGAATAAATATCCAAAACTCAACTCCTCATAATTCTGAATAAATGAAAAAAATTTTAAAAACTATTTTTTATTTAGTATATTTTGAAAATTGCAAAAAATGTAAAAATAAAAAAACCTCTTTATCTATGAGAGCAAATATATATTTTTGAATCATTCCACCGTTGCCATCTAAAAGCTCATTAGTAACTATTGACACTGAAATATATTCCAACACCCATAAGGAGATAATGGTATAATAAATATAATTAAGGATAAATGGTAAGTGGAATGCCACAAGAAGAAAGAGAAAAACAGTCAAATCGCCACATATGCGTGAAGCAAAGAAAATATTAGCTAGAATTTTCCATTTCCGTATCTCTTTCTATAGTAAAAATAAAAATACTGTGTTAATTCTGATTATTTACTAAACAAAAATTAATTAAACTTATTCTAAAAATTTTTATTTTTGAAAATAATTTCAAATTAAAATCAAAGGAAACCATGTATGTATGTATTAATTCGTAATAAATACAAAATATCAAAAAGACCAATTCGTTTTTAGGTTCGATTAATATTTTCAAATCAACAACTAATTAAAACCTACTCGCTCTTTCCGAGAATATTTACGCAGTGTACCATCACCAAAACTAATTATCCATTCCCAATATGGTAGAATTTGTTTGCAATTGTCTAAATCCTTCCTGCTCAAATAAGTGAATACTTTGTATTGTACATGTGGTGGTAAATAGGCGAGCGGTGAAATTCTAATGAAAATTTTAAATTAAAAAATTATCTACTTACCTTTTATCTGTTCTTGGATAAATATATAATTGTTTTGCTGTTGAGCTTTTAATTGTTGGGTTAAATAACAGCCTGTAAGTGCCATAGAAGTAAATAAAAGTTTGCAAACCCCATTCAAAACAGCCAACATAATAGAGAAAATCAAACATCTGCGTATTATTATATTTAGGCCTAAAGAAACAAATAAAAAATTAAATTTCCTAACCATCAAAATTTAACTCAAATAATCAATATTAATATAGTTAGTAAATATTTACATAAAAATTTAAATTAATTTTATTAAAAAGACTAAATTGCTGAAAAATTTTTTTTGAAAGAATGTTTTCTAAAATATTAATAAAAAAATTATAAAATTCCACGAAAATAAAAAATAAAAAAAGAAAAAAAAAGAAATGGCAAAGTAAATTTAATAGTAAAAAACTTAAAATAATATTTTTTAATTATTTGTTGTTGTTGAGTTCCTTTTTTCATTTCGTTTTATTCTTAAATTTTCTCTTGCACGTCTTTCTTTACCTAATGCATCAGTTTGTTGGGCTAGATCTTCAACAGTATGTTCTAGCCATGTCCCTAAAAATAATATTCCTTATTTGGTAAAAATACAAAAATTCCGGAAAAACAAAACAAAACCCAACTATTAAAAAAAATTCAAGAAAACATTTTTAGTCAACCTCGTAATATTTCCAATGCAGACTGTAATTGTGCATTAAGTTCACGTTCTGCCTCTTCTGGATTATCAAATTCTTCTTTTTTTGAAATATGAGGATGCTGATGGCTTAGTTGCTCATCATGCTTATTGAGTGTTGCACGAAACTTTGCAAGCGCTTCACGAATAGCATCAATAAGTTCTGTGCTAGCCTAATAAAAAAATTCGCAAAATTCAATAAAAATTATCACACCCAAATAGCAGCCTGTTCAATTGTTGTATCTGGAGTTTGAGGACGTGGAGCTTGCTTTTCCGACGGAGGACGAGCTTTTGCATGATTTGATGAAGCGGAAGAATGTGTCCAAGGTTTTGATGGAATTGAATTGGAAGGCTTTTTAGCTGATGGCCTCTCCTTTGGTATTAATGCATTTGATGATTTTGGTCGAATTGTAAAGGGTCTAAAGCAGAAGTTTAAAAATTTGATTTTATCATGAATCCTTGGGAAAGAATAAATTCTGAATTCTCTTTCCAGAAAATATCATTTTAATACTAAAAACAATATATTTACTTACAGGCTTTCAATTCCACGAATAGAAGTTGGTTGAGTTGAAGAAGTGATAGTTCCACCAGTATTATTACTATCAGTATTAGTTTCATTATTGCTCTTTGTCCTACCATCGACAGGCAAAATCCATTTTGTGCTGAATACAAAGTCCTATAAAGAAAATATAATATGAAATTTCATGTCGAGACTTGCGGATCTTTCATTATTGTTTAGGACAATCAGTTCGAAAGCATACCGGAAATCTTAACTCACTAATTGTAAAAAATCAAGTAAAAAATAAACCAGATAAGTAAGATAAGTGAAATATTAAAATAAATTCAAAAAGATTGGAATTCATAAATAAATTTTTAAATCAAACCGGTGGATAAGCTTTTGTTGTAGCAGAAGATATAGTAGAATTAACTGTTGTTGTAGTTGCTCCTTTAGGTCTGTTCTTTGGAGAAGGTGAACCTCTACTGCGATGCGGTAAAGGTTTGGGCATTGGTTTTGGAGGAAATGGAGGCATTGAAGGTTTTGATTCGATAGAAGGTAATGGTTTTGGCTAAAAGTTAATTTTTTCATAAAAACAGAAAAGTAAAATGAAAAAATATTCCAAAAATTGTTTATATGATCAAATGCCGGATACTTCTAGACAAATTGATACTTCTAGACAATAGCCTAAAAGAAAGAGAAAATCTACATCTAATGGAATTCGGAGGAATTGCCACTGGTGTATCATAAATATTTGTCGGCAAGTGTATCATACAATAAAAAAACAATTAAAAACGAAAACAAACAGGAACAATAAGTCGATGCCTTCCATTGCCATTTTCTTCTGTTTTACCACCTCCACCAGTATTACTACCAATTCCTGAAGGTATGCCAACTAATTCACTTGGAATAGTTATTGTTATCCAGGTTTTACAATTTGCAGTTAAACAAGGTCCATTTAATAATAAATTTTGTTGTTGTTGTTCAAAAGGCTCTATATTCTCTTCTTCATTTTCTTCTTCCTCGTTTTGTGTTATGTTTTTTAAACGACGCCAAGGCTGAAGAGGTGGTGGTGGTGGAGGGATTAATATTTCTCGACTATCAACCTATAAATAGAATGAGCTTTCTTGCAATTAAATTTAAAAATCCTAAAAAATCCTGCGCAAAAGTTAAAAATAGAATTTTAATTTACCAAAAATGAATGTTGCCCAGAAATATGAGTAAGCGATGCAGGTTTTATTTCAGTAACTATTGCTTCCCCTTTTTCACTACTTTCAGCATTATTATTATTTGGAAGACGAATCAAGCCTTTTTGATTATTCAAATAATATGGTTGTTGTTGATTATAATTTTGCTGTTTTTGTTGAAAATTTGGAAATTGCAAAGAATTTTGTTGAGAATTTTGCTGTCTTTGATGTAATTGTTCAAGTGTTTGTTGATTAATATTATTCAAAACTTAAAAATGGTCAAGGAAAATTACTCGCAGAATAATTCCCCACCGTGAAAAACAATTAGGAGAAATAAGATAATCACGATAAGATCAGATAACTTTTCTGTATTGACTACGGGATCCTTACTCGGAATAAATTTCGAACACTAATCGCCCCTAGATCAGAAAACTCAAAATTTCCGCATCGTAGTTCTCGTCATGCTACCGTTTACTCCCATACAAGAATTATACCATTTAACAGTGATGGATGCCTTCCAGATTGCCATTTATTAAAGTTATTCCTCTGAATTTGAGAGATAGGCATGTTCTGATAATTGTTATGACCATCATTGATAATTTGACAAAATGATGTTGGTAAAAGTAGTACAAAGCTGAAAATAATATTTTGTAGTGATAATAGTAAAATCAATAAAGATTGTAACATTTGAGCCTGCAAAATATAAACATAAATTTCAAAATATAAATTATGTATTCAAAACAGTAATGATCTTTTATTAAATAATAATGATCATCTTGCTTGTGCGGCGAATTGTTCCTTAAAATTTGTTTGCCCATAACATGCGTAAGAAAAAAAACGGGAAAAATTTTCCCTTCTTTTTAACCTTTCTTATGGCTAAATCGACAAATTTTAGTTTTTAAATATAGTGATGATGGTCAGCTTTTGCTTTCTTTAGATTGTGGTCAATAATTGAGCAGGTGATTTGTGGACCTTAACTTTTAAAGAATTTCCCTCTTGTCTTCCTCTTCAACTACTTTCCCTCTTAATTTTTTGCTTAATGCTTATATGTGCCCTCCCATTAAACCCTGCGCACTTTTCTTCCTCGCTAAAATTCTGTTTATATACTTTTACCCTTTCACCGCTATTTTGCCCTTTCACCGATTTTTATTTAGAAACGTTGCATTTCGGCTATGATCTTTCGGGTTGACATATCCCTTCTCTATACTTCTTCCCGAAAGGCTCTCCTTCTCTCACCAGCTCATCCGCTTCAAATCAAAGAATAAGAAAGGTGGTTGTTTGTTTTTCTTTAACAGGAACAACATAGGCTAATTTTAGACTATTAGAAAGAGGATGATCGTTTTACTGTCCAATACACGAATTAAAAAAGTCATAGAATCATCTATCTCTCTTTAACTCTAACACTATTGCCCATTATATATACCATATTAACTTTTTGTTTGACCTGTGCGCTGTTCCTTTCAATATTTAGAAAGGAAAACAAATAAGCAAAATATTTGCCCCAGACTCTTTAAATTCCTTCAAAAGCAGCAAATTTAGAAAGAATACTAAAAAAATCCCAAGTACAAATCCTATTTCTTATAAATGATTTAAAAATATAAAAAATTTAAAAGCAACAATAGGGAAGACAATATTTCTATGATTTCTGTCTCAAGTAGTAATAAAAAATATTAAAAGGGCAAAATTGCAAGTTGAATTTTTTAGTAGTTAGAGTTTTTAATAGCTAAATTAATAAAAAAGATTTACATAACGTTTAAAAAACTTTTTTAAATATTTTGTCGATTTTCCAAGTTTTTCTCTGTTTTTAACCTATCTTGCAATTCTCTAACATGCAATTCTAATTTCTTTAAAATATTTTTAAAATTTATTTAAAATATTGTTAAAAATACCCTCATTCTTTCCTCTACAAATGCATCAATTCTAGGTTCATCGAATTGTTGTCGTCTATCTCGCTCACCTCCTCCAGCATCATCAATTTGTTGCTGTAGTTGAGGGAAAGCAGAATTTAATGATTGTATATAATTAAACATAGCTTCACTATATGAACTTATAGAATTAATTAAAGATTCTTCTGAAGGGTCAATTTTCTGAAAAACGATGTTTTCTTGTTTACCTAAACAAAATTTATTACCTCAAAAGAGTCAATTCCATATGGTAATACAAAAAGAGGCTGTTGAGGATCAGTTGCAAATGTTCTTGGGAAAGGCACATCTAAAACTGCATTTGAAAGCAATAAAAGTGCCTTTTGCATTAAAGAATCTATTCGTGCACTAAATGTCTGGGAGTTGAAAATTAAATAATACAAAAAAATATAGTAATAGATAAACACAAAATTACAATTATTGACGCTCCATTAATATGTGCAAACTGTCTGATTGAACGATAAGTTAATCTTTTGCGTTCGCTTTCAAAATTCTAAGAGATAAAATAAAAAACGAATCTTATATCCAAACCTGGAAGTCATCATAACGTCCACATACAAGTACTAATGGAATACCAAGAGGCTTTATAATTTTCGACTCTTCTTTTATTTGTTGGGGCTCTATATCTGTTATCATCCATTTCTCAACTTGCTTCCGACAAAATGTCATAATTGGATCAGTTATTTGTTGCAATTGTTCAGGCATTGTCAAATCAACAAAAAGCAATATAGAAGCGATCCTAGAAGGTTGATTAAAAGGGATTTCTAACAAATTGGTCATTGAACCACCACCAGCCAATTCCCAGCAATGAACTAACTGACGACTCTATTATGATTAGAATTTTTCAAAATCCAATGTAAAAACTAACACTTCCTCTTAGTATTTTGTTAACAAATTTATATTCAAGAGCAATACTTTTTTCAGTAGGTTGTTGACGAAATGATGTTGAAGGAGCACCGCCAAATTCAATAAAACGAGATAATAACGTTGATTTACCCTTAAGGGAAAAATAAGAAAATAAATTAAAGTAATATAACTGAATTTGGTGCTCCACAGAATATTAAAGTAGAATCATCTAAACCTGCTATTGATTTTGTATTATTCAAATCTGTGGAATTTTCTTCTAAAAAATTTAAGTCAAATTAAGAATTTCGGTTACTCGACATTCGAGGATACTGCATAACTTTTTGAGATGTAAAAATATTTTTAATTTCAGAAATTACGCCTAAAAATAGGTTTATTTTCACAAATATGAGCTCTTCTATATATTATTTTTATCACTGACCTTATGTCTAATTTAATGGAGATTATCCTCAAAAGTCGAGTCCTCAAAAGTTACCTTGTTTTTCGTTCCCCGAGCCTTGATTCATTTTCTTTCTAGCAACAATTGCCCAACGTTGTTCTTGTTCCTCGTCAATTTTTCGCCGTTCTTCTAATTGTTTACGAGCTAATACAAATACATCTATTTCATTTCTTATTGTTAGATATTTTTGCGAATCAGAATCTGACATTTTTGTTTAAAATTAGGTTTACAAATACATAGATAAGGAGAAACGCATCACCATGACAACGACATTCAAAAGTAAAAATATGATTTAAGTGGCACGACAATTGGACAGATAGATATTGGACAGAAAACATTTGGTCTAAGGACATTTGATTATTTATAGTAGGTAGATCAGGGTAGAGATATCGAAAATAGTATGTATGTAAAATTTCGCCTTCTACATTTTAAATGTATGAAACGAAAACGAATCATGTCTTATTGTATGTCCTCATGTGAAATGAAAATTGTCATTTTCTGTCTAATCGTTTTCCGACCAATGGTCTTACTGTCTCATTGTCCGATTGTCATAACGCCTTAGAATTTCAGAATGCCATAAACAGTAAAAAAGGTTGATATGAAAAATTATTTCTTCAATTTTACACTTGCTATTGAACCCATAAAGTTCAATTATTAATTGCCATTTTCACGTAATAGTATTTATTTTAATGAACGTTAACAAAAAATCATATGGCGTCAACTCTCTCTTTCTATTTTAAATTTAACGAAAAAATTTTATCAATCAATTAAAGAGGCATTCATCCCAAAAACTTTTTTTATTTGTTTACCATTCTATACTATTGAAAAGGCGAAAGTAAAAATACGCAATTAAAAACAGTTACACTGCGCATCACTTCTAATTAAATATTTTTTGTGGGAATTATTGTGGTGAAAACTTACAATTAAATAACTACAACACTCAAAATATTTCAAAACATTCAAAAACAAAATTCTAAAACGTAGATATCTAGAAGAATTATATGTAACATCAAAACAGATTTTATATTATTTTTTTTCAAGGTTAAATTTAAAGTATTTACAATTTATATTTGTAGCATGTGATGAGCAAATACAAACTTTTTTTACGCAAACATGTACTGAAATGATAACTACTTGAAAAACTAAAAAAAAGAAAATATGTTTATTTCTTCAATAATTTTATATTGAAAAAGATAATTTATCACAGTTGTCAATTTCGCTAATAACTATCATAATTTAATTTCAAAATTTTCATATTCTTTCTCTCAGAATTAATATAATAATTTACATTTTGAATAAATTTTTTTAGTTTTTAAACTTTAATGGAAGAAACTAATAGTCGAACACAAAAACAACAAATACAAAAGCAATTGTCACCTACTCATTCTGGAAGTGGTGGTCTACGTGGTGGAGGAATAAGGCCAAGACTTTCGATTCGAGATGAAACATTGGTAAATTTTTAGAGAATTTTAATTTTCTTTAAATTTATTAAAGGTCAATTTTGGCAAAAAATTGGAAAGTCGTATAGGCCCAATTTCGCTTTTTTGTCTGGTTACAATAGCTACTGTATTAATAATAAACACAATTTATCATGAATCTGCAAATGGAACATTAGTTGAATTAATAGAAGGAATTCTAAAAGAAATATTAGAATTACAGGTATTTATTTGTAAATAAAAATAAAAAGATTTTAGCAAAAAGAAGTTGCTCAGTTTGTGGGAATTGAAAGTTCTACTACTACTACAACTAGTTTTATAAAAACAACAGTAATTGCAGAAACTGGCACGTTATCTACTGAAGGAAATGAATCAATTTCTAAAGGTAAGGTTTGTATGAAACACGTGTTTCACTTAAGCTTTGATTTGCCTGATTTTCAGATTTTCCATTATATCGGAAAAATTTTTTTAGTTTCGCGTTTTTTGAACTTTCGCTTGTTAAATTTACTTTCGCCTTTAAAATCTGTTTCAGCAAACCAAAGACGTATACCTAATTTATTGCCAAACCTTTTAGAAACTTCCCCAACAACAAAATCAACGGCAGATAGTCTTCGCCCAATTGTTTTAAGAAGAACAGAGCAAATATCCGAATTGAATTTATATAAAGAAAGGTTCCACGAAACTGATCAAAAAATTATTTTAATTATTCTCATTTGTATTTTGGGAATTCTTTTGAGTATTGCTGGAATAATTATTTGCCGTCGACGTGGTGGCATACAAGCAAGTAAAAGCAGTAGAATTGCATACGGGGTATTTTAAATTTAAATCGAAAATTCCAAAAAATATTTTTAGATGATTTTAGCTGCTATATGCCTTTTATTAATTATTCAACTCTTTATGTTTATTATTACTCTATTACCAAACGCCTTTGCATTTCATTCATTAGTAGACAAGCTTTTGGATTTTTACTTAACTTCAGAAGTTCCAGAAGACAAAAGAAAAGCACTTTCCGATCCAATTGAAAATAATTTTGGATGTAAATTAAAAGTAGAACATCAATTACTCGAACAAATGGGAATACAGGTAAATATTAATTGGAGGAATTGTTGAGACAATCAATTTTAGGAACCATGTGCACCAAAGATCAAGGACCGACTTTTAGCTCCTTATATTGTTTTATTTCTTATTCTAATTGCTTTATCACCATTCCTTTATATAATATTTATCATTGTTTGGCTGAAAAAACTAAAAAATGTAAAACCAATTTTGAATGCTAGACAAAAAGTGGCAGCTAGTAATGAAGCTAGAATGAGAAGATTTAAAGAAAAAATTGAAAATATTTAAAAATAATTTTAAAATAAACAAATAACGCAAATTTTTATATAAAATTTTATCAATAAAATGAAAAAATCAACAAACCTTTTTATAAAGTTTCAAATATTTATATGAACATTTTCAACATCAACAGATTGATAGCCTTTTTGTTCTAAATTAAAACTTGCCAATCCAGAAGAAATTGTTCTCAAAATTTTGGAAAGTCCAATTGTTTCTGATAAAGGAATTGATGCAGTAATTATTGATGTTTTTCCTAAAGATAAATATTTTGACAATACAGTAAATATAATTACTTTGGCTGTCAACGCTAATAACACGAGCCCTCCTTTTAGATAATTCATGCAAAATATTATCTACATCAGGAAAACCTTAATTAAAAAAGACTTATTTAAATAAATATTAATTAACCAGAAATTCCAGCAACGATAGTAACCTCAATTTGCATTAAAGGCTCAAGAATATTTATTGCTGATTTTCTTAAAGCACCAGAAAGGCAACGACTAGCGCAGGCACTTAATAAAGTTGGTTGAATACGACCGGAAAATGTAAAAGATCTAAAAAATTTTTTGAAAACAAAACTAAAAATTAAATTTTTATGAAGGTTTCCAAAGTCTTGTGACGCCCTATTAATGACATCTTTTTTTAAATATGTAATTACTTTAAAAATACTTTAACATTGGTAACAGCAAATCCCATTTTTGGTCCATTGAATAAAGCAACACTACAACCATCGTTAATTGCTTTAAGCAACTCTGGCCGTTTTGAAAGTACTTCATTTGCAGATTCTATTTCTTCTGTATTTTCTGATTCTAATGATAACTCTACCTGTAATATAATTAAAAATTAATTAAAGGAATTTTAACAAACCCCAGTAAATACTCCAAATCTATTTTCCACACTAATAAAATTATCATATTTCGTTATAGGTTCAATATAAAATTTCAAAGAAATCCAAGATTGATGTAATTTTTGAGATAATGAGTCTTCAATTATTTTTGAGTGTTCAACTGGCTTCGTTGGAGATTCACGGTAACCAATCTAATGAATTTAATATAATTTAATTAAAACAATTAAAAAGAGAAATTTTTAATTATTAAAAAATTTTATAAAAATTTGTCTAAACCCTTATAGGCCCAATAAAAACATCCAATTTATATTCTCTCAATAATCGTTCACGAAGGACTTCAATTTGCAATTCTCCCATCCCCTCAAGTATTTTTTGTCCAGTGTTGGAATCCTCCCTTATCCGAAGAGAAGGGTCTTCAACAACTGAAAATTAAAATCGATTAGTAAATAAATTCATAAATTTCAATAAAATAATTTTTTAAAAATATTTAAAAATTATTACGAAGCTCGGAAAGTGCTTTTAAAAATTTCTGTTCACTAGCCAAAGTTGGTGATTCAATTGTACATGAAAACACCGGGGATGGTGAATTAATACCTTCCAATGCAAAACGAGCAAATGATTTATTTTTGCATGAAGAATCACTAAAAATATCTTAAAGGATACTGCATAATTATTAAAATACCAAATAATAAGGGTATCCCCAGTTTTAGTATTATTGAGGCCAGTAAATACAGCAATATTCCCATTCTCAACTTTTTCAATTGGTTGTAAATAATCACTAAATGGTGTAAAAATTTTATAATTATTTTGAAGTTCATCTATAATAAATTTGTGAAAATTATATAATTAAATATATTTAAAGGCAAACCTGTATTTGCATTGATTAACGTATATTTACCAGCTGAAGGAAGTTCAATATCGCCTTTAAAGAGACGAACATAATTTAACTGTCCTTCTTTCGTGTCGTGACTGACCTAAGAAAATCAATTTAAAGATTTTTTTAAAGAATATGAATCTAAAAATGTTAATTTTTTGAAGAGCAAACTATTTACAATTTATAAATTTAAGAACCTTAAAAACAATTCCACAACTTTTAATAATTTCATCATCAATTTTATTATTTTTATAATCGTTTTCAGTAGGATTCGGCAAAAAATCGACAATCATATCCAAAACAGGCAAAATACTCAATGAACAATGCAAAGCTGAACCACAAGCAAGCGGGGATAATTTTCTTGAAATTAAATTTCTACGAAGAGCTATATAAAAATATTAAATAATTGTAACTTAAAAAACCTTTAATAACCATTTCTTTAGGAATATTTCTTAAATTCGGATATTTTATTATTTCTTTTTCAAATTCTGAATCAATATCAGCAAGGTTAAGGCAAATATCTTCAAATCCAGATAATAAAATTTGTTCTATTTGAGAATTTTTCTAAAAGAAATTTCTTTCATTTTAAAAATTTAAAATAATACCTCTATATGTATCCATTCAGAACTATTATTTTGTATTCTATTTTCTCTTGTAAACTTTAAAAACAAATTGTTTAAAACTAAAAATAAATGAAAATAAAAATTATTTATACATAATTTACTTACCATCAATAAATCCTTCCAAATGCCCATCCTTATTAAAAAAGGGTAAAACAATAGGAATAACTAAAAATGATTAAAAAATATTTTTTGCCAGGAACCTTTAACATTTAGTCTCTCTTCAATAGATGCAACACAAAAACTTAAATCAACACAAGGTTTATCCATTTTATTTACAAAAAATATTGAAGGCAAACTAAATTTATTTGCCTGTCTCCATACTGTCAAAGTTTGAGCCTGAAAATATTATAGAAATATTTATTCAGAAAAACCTGAACGCCCGCTGATGCATCCAAAACAGTAACAACGCCGTCAAGAACTCGTAAACTTCTAAAAATAAAAGGTAGCTAACCAATTTTTAATAAAAACCTTTCGACCTCAACGGTGAAATCTACATGACCTTAAAATTAAAAAAAATTAAATAAATTTTATAGTAAAAATTTACCCGGAGTATCAATTAAATTAATTCTGTGATTTTTCCATAGAGAAGAAATTGATGCAGATTGAATTGTTATACCTTAAAAAATAATGGGAAAATTTTTAAAATATTAAAAAAAATTCCTAATAAAAACCTCTTTCCCGTTCAATTTCCATAAAATCAGTTATTGTACTCCCTTCATCTACAAAACCAACAGATTGGGTACTCCCCGTTTGATAAAGTAATTGTTCTGTTAATGTTGTCTTTCCAGAATCAATATGGGCTATTATGCCTATATTTCTAATTTTATTGAGTTCAGAAATAAGAGGAAGACGAGTCTAGGAAATATTTTTAAAAATGAAAAAAAAGTTTTTATTACCTTAAGACCTCGTTTAGAATAATAATTAATTCCTTTAACAAGAAACAAAGAGGAATAAAACATTAAAGACATTTAATTTTCAATTATAAAATTTTCAATTAGAGACTAGTATTGACAAAATGGTACTTGGGACAAAATGGTATTAAAGACAAAATGGTACTTGCGACAAAATAGTATTAAAGACAAAATGGTACAAGGCAAAAAGGTATTACATTGTTTTGTCCCAACTCTATTCAAGATACGTTTTATAATTTCAAATGTTTTATTTTTAAGAAATTATAGGTATTATATAATTTTTCTTTTTCTTTCTTTGTCTTAATTCTTTTTTGTTTATGTTAGTTTTAAGAGGAATGTTGTAAATAACTGATTCCGGTGGAGGTTTTTGTACTTCTGCTGGGTTATGAGACGCAGAACGATAAAGAATAAAAATTATAAATTCAAAAATTGTTAAGATTGTTAGTCCAAAATAAAGTCCAAGTGTTGAGCCAAGATCGACTAGAATAATATTTAAAGTATTTGAATTATTTTTAATTAAAACCCATTAAATTAAAACTGTTATATTCACGTGATTCTTCCATTATTATAGCAGTCATTGACATAAAACGAAATCTAATACTGGATAAAAATTAATAGATTTATAATAGAGTACTAAATTTACGTAGACATATTATTTTCATAATAAGATCCACGTTGACCACGTGATGCACGAGTTTTAAGTAATGATTCAAGATCACGAATGAAAAGACTACGAGAAGGCGAGTAATTCAAGCGAATAACTATTGGCTCATTCTTTTATCAGAGTTTTAAAATATTTTGATAATTTAAAACATTTTGTTTACTTCAATTATCCGATTGACTTCCTTGAGAAGTGAAAGGCATTTTCCATCTAATTTTTGTTTTTCTCCTCTTCCATTTAATACAGATAAACGTAACAGAAGCAAATAAAGTTGATTAGTGTACTGTTAATTATTTTAAGATTTAAAATAATTAAAATAACTTTAATAATCATTGATTTTTGAATTGGATTGTTCATTGCGTCTATCATCTTTTTAAATAATTTATGAAATACTTAAGAAAAATTTTATACTTGAATAGGAGATGGAATAATTCTCCTTTTAATTGCATCAAAAAAGTTAACCGACAATCTCGAGTCGTTACTTGAAGAAACAATTGGTTTTTTCCAATTATTTGTTAAGATTTGTAACAATTCTTTTTTTATTTTCTCAAATTCTGGAAGCTAATAAAATAGAATTATTTTAAAAAATAAATAGAAATACCAGTTTATTATCACAATAATTATTCTTTTCAACAATTTCTAATTTTTCATTAATCAATTCTTCCCTAAAAAAGATTTTTTAATTGAAATCATCTCTATTTTCAAACATTGAAATATTGAAAAGTGCAAATATTCTTTTATTTCCATTATAAAATAATTCTATTAAACGCTTAAATTCTAAATATCTTAAATATTTTAAAAAAATTTTAAAGTATTTTTAAATTCACAAAAAAGGTTGGAAAGCATCATTTTGCATTTGAGAATTTTTTATTGCAATTTTTTCAAGCATTTCATTATTTCGTCCAATCATACTTTGAGAATAATTTGTTAATGTACCTTCCGCACTTCTTCTCACTTTGCTATAACCCAAATCAACTTTATACAGGACATTCTGTGTACATTTGCGTTTAATGCAATCTTTCGATGATAGGGGAATTTTAAGAAATTTTCATACTAAAGACCTGTGCATGGACACGGATACAGATAATATCAAGACGCTTATCCGTGTACAGGACTATTTTATGACAATTTATTTATCAATTTAACTAGAAATTCCTTTCTTACCATCCAACAAGAGCAAATCATTGCATCCTTCTCTGACAAAAGATTTCTGTACCAGAACTACTACATTCAAATCAAGATTGGCTCCAGCTTGTAGTGTTACCGAATTTATCAGAAAAGCTAATTATAATATTTATTAACCAATAAAAAATAATTATTTGATTTAATAAAACTATAATATAAAACCGACCATATTCATCAAAAATAAACAATGTTATCAGTATTTTTAACATAAAATATGCTTTTAAATTTTTAAAATTTCTGAGATTAAAAATAGAAGTGCTGAATAAATACATATTTAATAATTCAGAACAAGAAAATTAATATAATTTTTGTGCTTTAGGTTTTAAGGTAGTCTAAACTACCAAAATACATGTTCAACGAAAGTCCTAATTACAAAATTTTCAACTGTCGTATAAATGAATATTATGTACATATATTTATAACATAGAAGAGGATCAACTATTTTTCATCCTCATTTCAAATTTTTTAGGATTATTTTCCTCCGAAAAGAACGCCTTGTAAGAGTCCAGCAGCACCAACACCAAACGGTCCATATCCTAACATTAAAAAATATTTTACAATATTCTTGTCCTTTAGAAAATATTCGAATTATTCCTACTAAAATTTATGTCTTTAAACATTTAAATTTATTACCTCCTCCACAAGATCCACAACCTCCACCCATTCCATAGCCTCCAGAATAACCACCACCCCCGCACATTCCACACTGACAACATCCACCTCCCATACCTCCACCTGAAATATATAGTGTATAATTTTAAAAATAATTATAGTTAAAATTATGACTTCAATTTCAGGATGGTAAAAAATATTCATGTTATCTCACGCCAATTTTACGTCACAAAAAATTCCTAATAATAAATATTTTTATACAGACCATATCCATATCCGCCATATCCCCCATAACCATAGCGTTTTGTCCGTCTTGATAATACTGACTCATATCGCATCTTTGCTTGGCATAAATTTAACAACAAAATTAGCAAAAATAGAAAAATAATCAAAGAAAAATTGTTAAATCTTTTCATTTCTCAAGTTTTGTTTTTCTTTAAATGTTTTTAGACAATTTAATTCTTTTATTTATATTTGGCCAGAAGTGAATAATTTGTGTTCTTTTATAATTGTTTGTCAAGTTTTCGATCATCTTTTCTTTCTTCTTTTTTTGATTGTAAAAATTTAATGGGGATTTTTTTAATTTTGCGGATTTTTTTGAAATTTTTTGTTTAAACTGAAATAGCATTTATTTTGTAAAATTACAAGATAACAATTTCTATTTAATTTAAAAGATCAGTTAGCATATAAACTTTGATTTTATCCATATAAGATGTAGAAAATATTACCATTCTTTTTTTGTTTTTCTGTTAAAATTTTTTGTCCGCAAATCTATTTACGGACGAACATTTATTTAAAATGTCCCCCAACTTCACATTTTTTTCAACCAAAACACTCAAATAATTCGCCAAATTTACGCCTGTATGCGCATCAAATTTGATTTTAATTTTTATTTCTTCCTATCTTTTTGCGTCATTCAATTATTTTATTATAAAATTTAAAAAAAATTATATTTGTTTGTATTTTGTGTTTTTAAATTTAAATTATCATAAAAATGATAAATTGGGCGAATTATTACTTTAAATTTGATGAATTATTTGACAAATTAATTTAAAAATATTTACCTATAAATTCTCGCTTTAAAAAAAAGATTAAGTAAGAAAAAGATTTATTTGACAAAAAATTTTAATGCACATAAATGGCGAAAACAGAAATTTTTTTAGAAAATTTTTTTTAAACTGAAAATTCTTTAGATTTAAAGGAATAATCAAAAATGAATTGAAGACAACAAAATTAAAATTGTAAAAAAAATAAAAACTTTTGCAGAGGAAAGGTGTACTCCCCGATTTAAATTGGAATCGTAAAATTTTGTTTAGGCTTATACGAGTTTTTATTAGTTTCATAAACTTTTTAATGGACCAGAGCCAAAATTTTTGATAACCCTATAATGAAATTTTGCCGTAACATTAATTTCGTTGCCTTCAAACACAAGATATTTAAAAAAATTACATTTGCGAAAAAAATTAAAAAATCAAACCATTTTTTAAAAATCATTTCCAAATATTGCATTTAAAATACTAACATCAGAATTTTGTTGTTGTTCATCCAAAAGTGACAAATTATAATAAGGGTTAATATTATTTTCTTCAATTGGAGGGTCTAATGAAAGTAAAGTATTTTCTTGTAAAAATTCCTTAAAAAATAATTTTGTTCTTTAAATTAAAATTTAATAAAAATAAAAACAATTTTATTTGAAGAAATTGCTTCAGTTTGCAAATATTTATTGTCAATTTTACAAGGTGAAGAAAGAAGCATTGCCATTTTAATTGGTGAAAAAGGGGGAGTAAATTGTCTACATTCTTGCTGTTTTTGTTGTTTATTTGAATATTTTGAAGGAGTTAATTTATTTATTGAATTATTCTACAATAAAAATACTTTTAGTTAAAATAAAAAATATATTTGGGAGAAGACCAAGGTACCGCCGAGCCAAAATTGTCAAATCCGAGACCACGTGGTATGGTTCGATTCAGCCATCCCAGTACGTCCCGGATTCAAAAATTCTGAACGAAGTCATAGGAGGTTCGCGGTAACCTGGGTTCGTGAGGTGTACCCATATATTCATAATAAAGAACCTCTTCAATATTTTCATTAATATCTTCCGGACAAACAAAAGAATTTAAAGGTCCACCATTTTCATTTTTAATAATAACTTCAAATTTCTAAAATTTAAAATATAATTTAATTTTATAATTTAGAAATGTAAACTAATTATTTACTTGAGTTTCATTTGGATCAACAACCTAAAAGCGAAAAAAATATGAAATTTTTTAAATATTTTATTCGGAACGATCACTTATTTAAAAATTGTTAAATACAAACCTCAATAGAAGATGAAGAATCTTTTGGAGCTTTAACAGCAATTAACATTTTATTTTTAAAATTATCCAAGGAACGAAAATCAGTTAAAAGAGAATAACTTTATTAAAAAAATATTCTTAAAATAAATTTATAAAAACCTATAAAAAGCATCTGTTGGGTCCTCTTTTGCTAATTTAAGTGAAGACGAGACTGATTGAATAAATTTATCTAAACCTATTTCTTCATTAATTAATTCAATATTTTCTTTGTTTAATTTTTGATATGTTACTGAATTTGTAAACTCTGATTGATCCCTAGAAAAATTAAAAGAAGTATAATATTTTTATTTTATAAAAAATAACCTCCATTTAATACTATTTTTGCCAATTTTTTCAATAAGATCAACACCCTCAAGTACATTGGTAATATCATAAAGACGTCTTTTTGGAACACCTTTTCAAAAAATAAAAATTTTATTAAATATAATCGTATTAAACCAAGTAATTCAGCTGCTTCATTTAAGTTGAGAACCTTTAAAAATTAAAAAAATTTTTCCATTAAAATTACCCCTGGTTTTTGCATCTGTAAAGCCAAAAACTTTTTAGTAAGACTTAGAAGTGAACTATCTTGTCGAGCAGAATCGGTTCCACCTTCATATATGAAAAATTAAATTTATTCTTAAGTCAAACCTTCATTTGATTCTTTATCGATTTTATTTTTATTATTTTTAATTTCGGTTCCAGTATTTTTTGATTTATTTGAATTTTCCAAAGTTAATCTTCTTCTACACTAAATAATTTAAATTTTAATTAAGGATTATAATTTTTATTAAATTAAAACCTTTAATTGTGGTGTTTGATTATGCTTTTCATTAGAATTGGTTGCTGGACTAATTAGAATATCTTCTGACAATGGTGAAAAAAATGAAGACTGATCGGTAGACGGATTTTGGCTAATCATATTATTTGATTAAATTAAATATTTATTGGTTGCATGTATAGGTTTAGAATTATTAAAATTAATTTTAAAATCTAAAAATTTAAAAAAAATTAAAAAAAAATTGAACATTTTTGATGTGACATTTGCGAAAACGACATTTATGGAACTTACATTTGCGTTTATGGACTTTTGTGCAATACGACATTTGCGGCGGCAACATTTGTGACTCACGACCTTTGCGGCACTCCGTACGTAAAATTAGAGATTCTTATCATGGAAATAATAAATTTAGTAAATAATATAACGAACATTGATTTTTCTTATCTATTTAATAAAATAAGAATTCAAAATAACACCAGTTTTAAAATTCTTATCAGAAATCAGACAATAGTAAACATAGGTATAATATTAGCGTTAATTGAAGTTTTAATCATTTAAATAATATTAATTTTTAATTAAGATATTTCCCCTCAAAAATAAATATTTTAAATGATTTATCATCAAATTGACGATTTTCCACAGAAAAGTGATGTCAGATCTGACTACGGAGATCGTTCAACTTCCTTATTCCCTAATGATATGCCAGTAAAATCATCTAATGAGATAAATTCAGTTAAATCAAAAAATTATATTTCTAATTATTTTTTGCCCCAAATAAATTCAATTGAAGAATTATACAAGTTTAATTTTTCTGTCCGTTCGTTATATTTGGCGAGGTTTGAGAGATAATTACAAACGGCATAATTTAAGAATTTTTTAAAGTTCTTTTGTGTTTAAAATATTTTTGCTTGCTTCTTCATTTCTTCTATTGATGACCGGATTAGCAATTCTTTTTCAACGGATATTGTGTTTAAATAATAATGAATTAACGACGGATAAAGATCGTTTTTATCAATATAAACGGCTTCATAATGAATTTAAGATATTCCAAAAAACGTAAAAATATTCACTAGAATTTAAAAACTAATTTTAAAAGTTATTCTCGTAATTATTCTTCATATGATGAACTAAATAAACGTTTTATTGCCTTTTCTTTAAACATGTATTTACTTGAACAACGTTTGGATCAGGAAAGAAAACAAGGAATTGAAGGCCAAACTATTTGGGGAGTAACCGAATTTTTTGATTGGACTGAAGAGGAAATAGCAAAAGTAATAAAAATATTCATAACATAAATATTTAAATATTAAGTTATTAATTACACATAATTATAATGAACAAATAAAAGTGAGACAATTGAACAAAGTTATTAAAGTTGAAACAAAACAAGGATATGTACGTCCAAAACAATGGGACTGGCGAGAAAAAGGTGTTGTTACACACGTTAAAAACCAATGTGAGTTAGAAAAACTAATAGAAAAAGTTGATATTTTAGTAAATTGTGGCTCATGTTGGGCTTTTTCTGTTGTTGGAATGGTCGAAACAATGCATGCTATTCAAAATGGAACACTTGTTAGACTTTCAGAACAAGTTATTTCTATAATAAAAATATTTAAAAAATTTTTTAAAGCAATTAATTGATTGTGATTCGGCTGAAAATGGATGTGAGGGTGGTTTCCGTCCTTATGCATTACGGTAATAATTTATTATGAATTTCAAAAATTAAAAATTAATTTTAGTTATATTCGAGATAAAGGTCTTCTCTCAGAAAATGCCTATCCAGTGGGTTTTTAAAAAATGAAATTTGGCAATATAATTTTTAAATTAAAATTTAAGTATCGTGGTAATGATGGAAAATGCCAACTTCCTTCTGGTCCAATAGTAAAATAAAATTTAATTAATATCAAGAACATACCTTAAAGAATTTGATCTATAAAATCAAAAATATTAAGGATCCAACTCAACGCGTTTTTATCGATGAATGGCGTTCTTTGCCTTCAAATGAGGATCAAATTGCTGATTGGATTGCCACAAACGGGCCTGTTACTTTTGGTAATTAAAATTAAAAAAAATATTTTTAAAAATTAAAAAGGAATGAATGCAACTAAAAGCATGTATCATTATAAAGGAGGAATTTTTTCACCAAGTTCAGAAGAGTGTAACTACGAATCTTTAGGATCTCACTCAATGGAGGTTATAGGATATGGAGTAAATGACAAAGACATTCCTTATTGGATTTTAAAAAATAGTTGGGGAAGTGGTTATGGAGTTAATGGAGGATATTTGCATATGAGAAGGTAGTTAAACAAGTTAAACATATTTTTATTATTTTTAAAAAGAGGTGTGAATTCCTGTGGACTTACACGTGAAGTATATAGTGCATTAATTAAAAAATAGATTTAATAAATTATTGAAAAATATTATTATAATATTAATTATTATTATTCATTAAATGATTAATTATTTATCCATTAAATGCTCTTTGTTCGTATTTATTCAAAACACCGTCTATTATGTTTAATATTACTTCCGAATATTTTTCTTTTGCGAGTAATTGTTCCTATAATTTAATAGGTAATAAATTCGAGTCACAAAAATTCTTTATTACTTGATCCATAAATAGTTTGACTAGCTCAGCAGGATCCACAGGAACAGAATAATGACGACCTGTCCAAACTTTTCGGTTTGGAATTTCAGGATCAGCACTCATCATTAAAATTAAAGGTTTTTCACAATGATGATCTGGATCTTGTACCCAAATATTTAATGCATCACTTAATTTCTTTTGAACAGACTATAAAATTAAATTTAACTAGATATATTTAGTATTATAGTTAAAAGAAAAACAAACATCTAAAGTATTATCAAGTAGATTTGAATGCTTAACAATTATAACCATCACTTCAAGTCCACTACGATCGCATTCATTTTGTAAATTATCCTTTTAGAATTTTAGGATCAAATTTATTTTTTCTAAAAGTTTACTTTTCGAGTAGCATCTTCTAATTCTTTAAGCATTTCATCAATTTCACTTTTTTGACTTTGTATTAAAACATTATCTGGATCGCATATTTTTGATTGGATTCTGTGAAGACATTGAATATAACTAGGTGGTGAAGCTGGTGGGAAACCTTCAGAATTTGTCGGGATTGAATCCGCTAAAGAAGGTAGAGTTGTTTCTTTGTTTTTAAATAAATATATTCAAGAGAAACAAATTATATACCTTGTCCAATTCTAAATTCTTCATTAATCTGCTCATTATTATTTTTATTTTCTCCCGAATTAATTTTTTCTTCCTTTTTATCTTCCAAATTTTTGTTATTTTCAGGTTTTTCTTCATTATTGTTTGCTAATGGGTTATTTCCATTATTTTCTGTATTTGTAGACAATGAGGGTGGTAATGCAGGTGGCAATCCAGGATTTTTAAGCAAACTAAATTTCAAAAAATATTAAAAAATATTTTATTTTACCTCCCAATGACTTCTTCTTCACTAGGTTTAATATTTGTAGGTGGCTGAATTGTCTCTTCATTAATAGTTCCGGGCGGACCGTGTGGGACACCCTCGGGGGCAATTGCTGCACCGGGGGGTAGAGAAGGTATTTGTGCATTTGTGTTTTTAAATAATACAAATATTGTAAATAAATTTAAAATTAATTTGAAGTTCATTGAAAGCAATAATGCCAAATTTTAATTTACTATAAAAAATATTCTTTAAATTTATTTAAATTAATAAAAGTTAAGCAAGAAAATGTTTAAAAATAAATTGCAACTAACGAATTTATTTAAAAATGACTAAAAATATAGTAAATTATGACGAAACACTAGAATAACTGGTTTGTATTTTTGTAATTAATCATTTAAGTGATATGCGCAAAAGGCCAAAAACCATATAATTAACTAAAAAAATTAAGACGAACAACAATTTATTTATTATCCCTTAATTTTGTAATTGAAAGGGCGTTCAATATTTTTAAAATTTTTAGTATTGGAATGGATGAAATTAATATGGATATGCCCTAAATAAAAAGGCTTTTTGTTTAATGTAAATAATAAACCAGGATGGCGAGTTTATAAGTATATTTTTACCCTTAAAATTAAAATAAATGAATAATAAAATCCGAATTCTTTTTGCTAGAAACCCTCCAGATGCCTTTGATGAATGTCGTCATTTTCCAACTTTAAAACCAAGTGTTGAATGTCCATTTCCAGGATGGTGTGTTGAGGTATATATTTTTAAAAACAATTAAATTTTAATTTTTAAAATATTACTTAGATTATTAGTTATTTAACTGAATATTTAAAATTAAAAATTGAACCATTTATTCTTAATAATCAAATTGGTGAATTAAATTGGGGATCTCATGTAAGTATTTTGAAAAATTTTTTAAATTTAATTTTAAAGGATAATGGTACTTGGAATGGAGTTTTAGGGTTTATTCAAAACAATACTGTTGATACAGCCTGTCTTTTCTTTCAACGTACCCAACTTCGTGCCGAACATTTTTCTTTTTCCTATCCAATAACAAATGTAAAACCAACTTATGTTGTTCATAGTCAACATGATGAATGGAATATTTGGAATGCATTTATGCCTTATTCTCCTTCTACTTGGTTTTCAATGGGTGTTATGTTAATCCTGCAAACCTTGGTATTTCATTTGAAAATTAATGGTTTTTCAAGATCTTTTATAAATTTTTAAAGTTTTGTCTTTATGTGGCTAAATTAGAAGTAAGAATTGGGCGTCGTAACCAATTAGAACCTTTTCAAATATTTTGGAAAATAATTCGTTTACAATTGTATCAGCCAGACAGCTTTGATTTTCGAACAGCTGGGGGAAATTTTGCTATACTTATTTTTACAGTTGAGAATTTTTTTATAAAAAACAACAAATCTTTCATTAAAAAATTTTTTAAAATCAAAGATAATGCAATGCCGTCTTCTACTTGATATGTACCAAACATTATTATTATCGGTACTTTTACAGCCAGTGGCTGATAACCCTTTTAGAGATGCTCGAGAAATGGTTAGATTAATTGGAAGTCAACGTTTTAAATTAATTACTAATTATATTGGAAATTGGTTTTAAATAATTTTTAAATTTAAATATTTAAATTTAAAACAAAGGTATTTTGAAGAACTCCACAATTCTAACGTTTCTCATTATCGTTCTTTGCGGCTTGCAATTGCTCAAAATCCAATTCATATAGCTAGTACAGTTCCTAAGGCGTTAGATAAAGTTTTAAAAGGTGGCTATATTTATCCAATACAAGAGGATAGTATTGGAATGCAAATGGCTAAAGAAAGGTTTTTTATTTGTTAAACAAAATTATTTATCCTTTTAGATGTGGAGCCGGTCTTGTATTTGTTTCCGAAGGAATGCCCGAAGTTAGTTCACATCTTATTTTTCGCCGTGATAGTCGATTTGTGAAGCTTTTTGAACGATCAATTATTATGAATTTGGATTTTGTTAGGAGAACATTTAAAAAGTATTTAGTTTTTCCAAAAAAATATTTGTTATTTTAAAGATATTTTCATTCAAATTTCAAATTAACCAAAGAAAATTTTGATAATAATTATTTGACTAAAAACTTGACAGAAAGAATTGGTCATCATTGTAAAGAAGAATCTTCATTTTCTTCTTATTTAAATCATAAAGGTAGATGGCACTTTGGAATTAATGGAATTGAATTAAAACCTTTGGGTAAAAAAATAAATTTATCCTTTAAAAACAATTTAAAAATAGATTTTGGTTCTATGTTTGGCGTTATGTTGGTAGCGCTTTTAGGTTTTTTAAATTTTTTAAAGAAGAATTTTTTAATTTATTCAGGCCTTTTACTTTCATTTTTGGCTTTTTGTGCCGAAATTTATTATAATAGAAAGAAGAAACGTTTAATGTTTCGATTACGTATGAGAAGAGCATTAGCAGAACAAGCACATTTGACTGCTGCTGCTCAAGTAATTTTTTAAATTATATTTTAATTTAAATATTTTCCAAAATGATTTTCCTTTTTAAAATTTAGGTATTTGTTAAGCAAAGTATTCAAACAAAGATAGGAGATCGGTTACAATCTCCGACAATTGGCGAAATTCATGCATGTTTTGGGGAAATATATATTTAGAGATTTAATTATTAGGATATTAATGGAATAATTTTTTAAGTTTATCCTCTGAATACATAGAAAAATTTAAATAAATTCTGAAATAATTAATATTTTTTGTTTAAAAATTATAAAACAATAGAATATTGAAAGGCAAAACATAAATTTTTAGTTAAACTTTATTTTTTAAATTATCATTTTCACTGGCAAACGTCCATTGGCAATTATTTTTGAGTATTTGATTATTTTTCTTTAAAAAAATAATTTATTAATTTGATATTATTTAAAAATTACTGTTTTTAACATAACTGGAACTAATCCTAAATCATCACCAGGCTTTGGAAGAGGTACTAACTTTGCATTTTTGCGTGGCCTTCCAGACTGTCTAGAAAAGTAATTTTTCCAGAGGCGTTCAAGTTCATTCACATTTTTGACATGAATTTGTAGATGTTTTTTTAAATTGCCTTTAAGTCGACAAGTTTTTGTACAAAATGGACAAATAAATGTATTTCGATGGCAGGCACTTTTATGAATCGATTTATGTTCAAATAAATTGGATTTAAATCGAAATGATTTTTGGCAATATTCACAACTGTGTGGACGTTGTTGTTTTTGTTCATTATTTATTCTTAATGAAGAATTTAAATGATTGTTAGATGAATTTGAAGCAGAAGTTGTCGAAAGGAAGGTATTTGCTTCGGTATTATTTTGTAACTTGTATTCATCTAATTCCAACTCTTTTTCATTGTTTTGAGGTAAAGGAAGAATATTAAATTGTCTTAATAATTCGTTCAACAAAACTTTGAGGAAAAATCTTTTAATGTTTTTATAAAAAATATCTCTTACTTTGGCATTTATTTAATTCTTTTTGTTTTACTTGCTCCAACAATAATTGGTCCAACATAAAAGTATTTAGGTTACATGTACCATTAATAAAAGACATTTGAACTTAAATTATTTTATCTTTTAAGGTTTGATCTAAAATAAATTAAAGTGTTAAATTTTGACGAAATTCTAGTCTGATATTTATAAATTTAAAATAATTTAGGTTTTGTTTTCTTTTTTTAAATCAACTGAAATGATAAAAGAGGTAGTAAAATATATTACTAATAAATTTATTTAATTTTAATGAGGAAGTTAAAAAATAAAAGTAAAAAAATATTTTTAATTTATTTTAATAATTTCCGTTATCTTTTTTTATTTACTTTAAAGTTTATTTATTATTTTGTCTTAATTGTCTACTAATTAAATTAAAACAAAATTTAAAATAATTAAGTTCATTTCTTAAATGATCGAGAAATTTACATTTAGAATTGGATATTTTCATCGATAACCACTTTATTTTAATTTGAAATGTTTAAAATGTTTATCAGTACATTTTTATATATGTCTGTATCTTTCTTATTTCCTTTGTTAAATTTTGATTTAAAATTTTATAGACAGACGATGAATTGTTAAAGTACATAAACATAAAAAAATATTTTGTGGAGAAAATTTTAAAGAATAACTTGGATATTTATCACTTTTTATATAGTTTTTTATCTAAAATATTTATTATAGTTATCTAAAAAAACAAAAAAGTATATTATAAAATATAAAAAAAGATACAGAATAACAAATTGTATTTAAAGCATAATTTGTAAAAATTAAAATTTTTAAAGAAAAACTGTGTCATCTACTAATATATTGTTATAATTAATGAGAAACAATTGTTGAATTTCTTTCTCTTTTTCATTGTTATCAAGTTCTTTGTTTTCTTCTTCTAGTATTAAAAATAAATTTAAATTTATTTTAAACTCATTGCTAAGGTTGGACACGACCAGCTTTCGGAAATTTTGATATTTTTTTACCAAGAATTAACCGTTTTATGGAATTTTAAAAACCGAAAATAGGGAATGTGAGTGATTATTTTAAAAATTCTCCCAAAATAGAGCTGGTATTTGACAAAAACTAACAATGAAAACAGAGAGTACGTTAATAACAGGTTGTGTAAAACTCTACTTTATACCTAATTCTTTTTTTAATTTTTGTTCATAAATTGATGGTTGTTGTTCTGAATCATCTAAACAAGAAGCGGCTGGCAATGAAACTCTACCAGTTTGTTGTCTATCAATGATATTTTGTTGCCTAATTTTTAAAGAAAAAATAAAATTATAAATTTATATTTATGTAATTATTAAAAAAATTTTTTTCTAGTATTTTGTAATATTTCTATACATTTTTTGTGCAAATATTTACTTTTAGTTAAAGTAAAAGAGGTAAACAAAGGAAAGAAAAGTAAATTTAAAAAAAGAGTGAAGCTAGTTATCTTTTTGTTTTAGCTTTAAACAATTAGAAGATATAGAGATATATAAAATTCAGAAAGATGTTTTCATTTCTTATTTAATATTAAAAAATTAAAATTTCTTAACGAATTAATCAAAAGATGAAAAATATTTTAAATCAAACGATAGATAATGATAAAATAAAAAATGGTGGAATACGTTCACTTTGGGAAAAACGTATTATGGCTGAAACAATTAATAAAAATGTTTGTTTTTTTTAAATAATTTTAAGAAATTTTATTTTTTAAGGAAGAAATACCAAAACATAGCAAGAATAAAATATTTCTTTTTCCACGTTGGAGATCTGTTGACCCTATGACAGCTTCTTTGGTTTTTTAATTATTTTATTAGAAAATTATGTACAATAACTCCCGATGAGTGTTCTTGGGACAGGAGGGACGTCTAGGGAACGGAGGAGATGGGCTCTCTTCCACCTTCTGCCCACTTTCTCTTTTTTGGTGTTTCCGCTTCCGTCTCCCGTTTTTTTTCTTCCGCCTTCCGTTTTTTAAAATACGACAGGGCCCCTGTTCGGCTCATTATATGAGAGTTGACTAAATTTAATTTTTTGGGTAGCCTCAAAGAAAACTATACAAATAATTCCAAAAGATAGTTTAATTCCAATTCATCGAGAAGAGAAATTAATTAATTCTGAAAGAATGGCAAGACTTGACAAGGTTTTTAAACATTTTAATTAAAAAAATTTTTCTAAAAAGTTCAAATTACATAAACCATATATCCAAAATGCTATTTATAAACAGCAACAATTAATTGGACGTTCCCTTTTATTTAATAAATTTCAAAATTCTCCCGAGGAAATAGCTAAAAGTAGAACAATGGCTTTATTTAATGATGAAATTACAAAATGGTATGGAAATAAAATTGAAAGAAAATATTTTTTAAAAAGGTATGATCCAAATGAAATTTGTCAGTCAGTTAGTTATGAACCTATAGCAACGGTAGAAAAATCAAGGAAAATATGGGAAAGAAAAATTTGTGAAGAGAAGATCAAGAGAAGATGAAAGGAAAAAATGAGAAATTTGATTAAAAATAATTTTTTAAATTTTTAAAAAATAAAATTATTTATTTTACCTTAAATTTCTATTATTATGTCCACCAATAGGATCAGTAGATCTACGAACTAAAGACGATGATATTCCTTTTGATTCTGATGGTAAACCTCCCATAGAGATAAGTCTTCGACTTTCTGTTGGTATTTGACTTGGATGGGGTATAGCATCAACAAATTGTTTATTATTATTTCGATTTCTACAAAAAAGCATTCGAAAAGTATCTCTAAAACTGCTGGACATAAAGCAATAAATTCCAAAATTAATTGGATAAGTGGCCTTTAAAAATAAATTTAAAAGTATATATGCTTATAAAACTAACCATAACTAGCATATTATTTACAAGTAGAAATGTTATCTAAAAAATTAAATTTCAGTAAAGAATCTTTAAAAAATCACCGGAAAAACTCCTTCAAGTAAACGATTACTCAATCCAAGTGTATTATAAACACAAAGCATTGCCATAAACAATGCTTGTGGTAAATTAACAATTAAAAATATTGAAACAATAATTACAAGCATTACAGAAGTATTATTATCTGACGTTTGTCGATGAATTGTTGAATCACGGTTACGTTTATCTCTTTAAAAATTTCTTTTTAATTTTATTTTTTTAAAATTTTTTACCCTAAAATAGACAACATTAACAGCCTTTTCTTTCGTTGTTGAGCTTTCCTAATACTTTTAATAAGTAATGCATTTAGGCAAATAAGTAGAAATGAAGGCACTAAAATAAATCCAACAACCCGAGTCCAAAAATAAGCATTGAAGAATGCTTCAAAAATTTATATAAATTTAAATATTTTTAAAAAATTGACCATTAGAACCAACAAATTTAACAAAAAATGTATATCCAGATAAACAACTTCTAAAAAAATAATAATTAAAAAAAATATTTTATGGATATAAACTACTTTAAATATATTAAATGACCAGAATCAACAAAAGCCCAACCTTCATAAACATTATAATAATAATCGACGAATTTTGGAAGGCCACAAAATATAGAAACAATTGTAATTAAAAAAGTTGCAATTCTCACATTACGTAAAGAACATAAATGGCGAGAATTCATAGGATGACGAATAGAAAGATATCTTTTTTTAAATGAAATTTAAAGGTTTTGTGAAGGTTAATACTACTACCTTTGACCTGCCAACAAAACTGTTAGCCACATTGCAACTAAAATATTAAAATATATTTAAAAATATTTAAATATAAACTAATAAACTATTATGGCAAACTGGCGGAATTGCATCCATTGAATATTTATAAGCATAACACCACCAAAAATAGTAAAATTAAATTTAAATAAAATATTTATCTAAAAATACCACAGTTGAAGTTCTTTTTGTTCATATTCAAAATGCCTTTAAAATTTAATATTATTTAATATTTTAATAATTAATTACACCTTAATGTGTGATAATAAAAATTCCAGGGAAGAGGAAAAAGTCCAACACAAAGATCAGCTATTGCCTGAATATTAAATATAAGTATTTAAATTTAAATAAAATTACCATATATTTTAAAACTAAATTTGTAGGCGAAATCATGTGTTTTTGAGAAAGTACTAAAGCTACTAATAAATTGGCAACGACAACAAAAATAACAAGAATAGGAAAAAGCTTTAAAAAATTTTTTTTTAATTATAAACTAATTAATTTACATATCCATAAACTAAATGTTCCAATTGCAAATGCTGGCTTAAACGAAGAAAACTAAAAAATAATAATAAAATAAAATTTATTAGAATTATTTTACCTAGAATCCCTTTCACAATGCCCTGTACAAGCATCATAAAAAAATCCGCCAATATTAAGACATTCCAGTGCTGATTTATTTGAAATTAAACATTCCTTTGATGCGGATCGTTTTGTTAAATTATTCATATTGTGTTAACTAATAGGTAAATTAATTTTGATGGCTTTGACAGTGAGACAGTTAAGCGGATTGTCAAAGCGCCTTATACATAAATTAATTTAAAATGCAAATTAATAAAAATAAATTGGCTTAAGAATTAATTTGAATAAATTATTCAAAATTGATAGAAATTAAATTAAATATATTTCTTGAGTTATTAATTTTATTACAGAATTTATCATTGCTTAATATCTTGATTTAATTTTTATTTGATTTAATTTTTTTTTAAATTTTTAAAATACTTTTTAATCTTTTTTGAGTTTGAAAATAAAAATAAATAAAAATATAACTTCTAGCCCTCAAGATAAGAAAGAATGGATTGAAAAAGCGACGACCGGAAAAAGTAAAATGGCATTACTTCTCCTGATGGGATTAGCCAAATAGTATTAAAAATAGACTTATTTGTTTTTACATACATATAAAGCAAATAAAGAAAGATTAAGCCAAAAATTGATTATATATTTACTTTAAAAATGTGGAATTTGATTTATTAAATTGGGTAAAATATTGGGTAAAATAATAATTTATAAAATATTATACACATCCTAACTCTGTTTAATTTTTATTTAAAGAAGTCTTAGGAATTTTAAGTAAATTTTTGAGGAAAAAATTAGATGAAAATAGCAGAGAGGATAAGGATAAACTCAATGAAATTAATTTTAGCAATATTACCCACTTTAATATGTCATGAAAAGAGGATCTTCTAGTGCTTCACAAGGATCCTTATTTTATTGGACAATTTGCCTTTAAAAAAGTAATTTAAAATGTCAAATAGGGGGGAAGTAATGAAAAGTGAATTGGAAATTATTCTAAAAATAAAAAAAATAAATTTGGAAATTTCAATTATGTTATAAAAAAAAGTAAAAATTAATTAATTTTATAATTTGACCTAAATTATATTACTTAACGGTTATAACCTTTTAATGAGTGATTAGACTTGATCTATCTTATTAGAAAAAAGATAGTTTTCGAGGGCTTTAAAATGATATAAGATTCATTTGTATTATCAAGCATCAAAAAGTTATAGCCGATCAAAGTCGGCTGGCAACATTTATTGCTTTAACATGAAAATGTACCACTCCGCCCTCATTATTCTCCTTAAATAATTGAATTTTTAATTAATAATTATTTTACTTTTTTATTTCATGTACAAAAAATTTATTTTGGATAAACATACGAATACTTATGTATGTAATAAAAAAAGGAATGAAAGTAATAAAGAAAAAAATTGAAAATAAAAAGGCAAAAGCCGATAATGCAGAAAAATTTCCTTGGCAAGCTAGGGATTCTCTCCAGAGAGTCCAATTAGTTGTTGTGTTTATTGAATGATAAAGCTTTAAATGAATCAAAGAAGAAAATAAAGAAAAATATATTGAAATAAAAATAAAATTAAAATTCATTGAAAAATTAATTTAAAAATTAGCCCTAGAAAGATTCAGGGCGATACAAAGGGTTGGGGTATCCTGGGAATTCCCAGGATATCTGAATCCGGTATCAGATACGAAAATTCCATAATATCCGACCTTTTTCTGGATCCAGATATCCTAATCAGACAACCTTAGTCATAGACTATTAATTACTTATAATTAAAAACTTTTTTTTAATTCTAGATTATTTTTTAAATTTTCATAAATTTGTTGATGTTTGAATTTACTTGTTAGTAGTAAAAAATTAAATTTTTTATAAAAATTGGTAATTTTAATAAAAATATAAAAATAAAAATACTATTTTTATATTTAAAATTGTAGAAATAAAAATATTTAAATTTTATAGAAAATATGAACATGGAGATTTAACTACAAATGTTATTTAATTTAAATAATCAAAATTCACCAAAAATTTTATTTTGGATAATTAAAAATCTAAATAATATGACAAAAAACAATTGAAATTGAAACATAAGAGATAGGAATACTATTGTAATAAAATGTATAGTATTTAATTTTAGTTACATAACTATAGTTATATTGAATTGGAATAAAGATATATTTAAAAGAATTAAAATAAATTTTAAAAAATTAAAGAATTACCGGGAATATATCTAATAAATAGATCAATGTAGTGTTAGGATTACAAGTACATATGTACAGTTTAGTTAGTTTTTTCATCCAAATTAATTATTATTTAGAATTTTTTAAAATATTTTCTTCTTAAATAATTCTTTACATCTCATTATTTGAATTGTAGGAATTTGCCCCACAAGTTATCAGAGCTAACCCAATACATTCTCTTTTTAAAGATTCTTCTTCATTTAATTCTGTTCTTCCATCAAGAACATTTCTGATAGTATTCATTGGTGTTTCTCCACAAAAATCTTTATAATTAACCAATTCGGCCATTTGTTTCTCATCAAGATGTTCACGAAGTAACTAAAATTTAACAAAAAAAAATAATTTTAAACAATATTAAAATTTAATACCTCAATCAAACGTTCATCCATTCGCTCAACTGCATAATGCGCCAAAGAACGTCCATTAGTTGCATCCACCTAATTTTTAATAAATTTTTTAGAAAAAATTTCTAATTTTTTACCTTAAAAGGATTAGCCCCAGCATTTAATAAAATATTTATAATTTCCAAATTACAAATTAAATTGTTATTTTGTTGCACATTTTCTTCTTCGGAGACTTTTCTTCCATGATTTTTAAAAGCGCACAATAAAGGACTTAAACCCATTCCATTTTCAGCATCCAATTTAGTTCGAGAATCGGCACAAAGAGCACGAACTATGTTTGTCTTTAAAAAAAAATAAATATGTATTTTTAAGTTAAACATGTACTGACCATTCCATGAGAAGCAGCAAAGTGTAAGGGCATATGCCGTTCTAAGCGATTACTTTGAGCATTTGGTGATGCTCCAGCCTATATTTTTTGATATTAGGTATATCGATAAACAATATTTACCTCTAATAAATAGCTAACAACTTCTGCTTGATTTTTCTGTACAGCAACCATTAAAGGTGTTTCTCCCATAGCATTAGGTATATCAAAATTTGGTATCCCACCTTCACCTCCATCCATCTTAAGCATTTGTTCTACAAGTGCATATATTTTAGCCAAATCTAGATGAGAGGTAACAATATGCAAAAGAGTATCCTTGTCAGCATCTTGGAATGTTAAAGCCCCCGGATGACGCTAAAACAATTAGAATTTAATAAATAATAAAAAAATATTTATAAATTACTTGAATACATTTACAAGTCCAAGCCCAAGCATCATCCATATCTTCACTTCGAATGAGAACGCGAAGACGCTCTTTTGCTTGCCTATTTGAATTAATAATTCCTATCTCGTCGCGAGCTGTCAACGATGTTAATGGTGGCATTGGCGCGAAAGGTGGTGTTTGAGAACCTCCACCGACTGCACCGTTGCGAGGGGCGGACGGAGAACTGGAAAAAATGAAAGCATACGATAATTCAATAAAATTATTCAAAAAAATACTTTTTTGGAGCGCTAAATGGCGATTCACCTCCATTCGTTATTGTATCACCGGATAAAGACCTAGGAGAACCACTCTCTGAGAATGAAGCCTTTCGAGAGAGAATTGGTGAATAACGACGAGAATATTCAAGAATAAAATCAGAGAGGCTTAAAAATAAATAAATTCTTTATATTTATTTTTATAAACAAAAATTGCTTACTTATCGGGTAGTTCATTACGTTCTGATCGTTCGCCAGGACTCAATGGATCTAAAGTTGTTCCAATACTATCAGGAGTTGAACTAGGCGAAGATAATGCTGAATCACTTCCACCAACACTCCAAGCGTCCCCACTCCAATTACTTGTCGGAATACCACAATCGTATCCGTAACCAAAAGAAACAGCAGGGTTGAGACCACTCTGGTCAAGAAGAACTGATTGAGGGGCAGCCGCTGCGTTGAACGTTACACCCATATTTGGAGATGACATATTACTTGTGTTGCTTCCAGGTGGAGGATGGCCATTCCCACTGTGTTGAGTAGCCATTGTTGCGTATGGATGATGGAAAGGTTGAGGTGCACCACTAAGAGAATAAATAATTTAGGTATTATTAATTTATTGTTTTACTAATTTAAGGTTTTAATTTTAATTTCGATCTATGTAAAACGAATTCAGTAAATAAAATCTTAGTTAAAAATAACCCATAAATAGTACTCTATAAATAATAAACTCACTGAACAATAAAGTTGGCTCGAATTGGTCCACGTGCTATAAGTTCGCCTTCAACTGGTTCCTTTTGTTTTATAGGCTCCTCTTTCTTATTATTAGTACAATTATCATCTTTATCATTTACTGATTCATTATTGAATTGCGTCAAATCTTTCGCCGTATCACCCAAATTTTCCTCGTTCTTTTTAATCGTATTATTAACAACTTGTTCATCAATCAACAATTTTTGTGAATTATTAACGACTTTTTCTTCCGTTACTAATTTTGTCTGGGTTTCCTCCTTTAATTTCTCTTCTTCCACTTTTTTCGATTCCTCGAGGGGAATAGTAGCGGAAGATGCCTCTTCCACAGACACAAATGAATCAACTTTTCCTTTATCTTCACTAATTATTTGGTTCTTTTTCTGCTCTTCGCCAAACATTAAATCGGCAAAGAGATTACGACAATTACGACTGAATTTGGCTGTAGTGTTTGTCTTTCGGGCAAGTGCCGAAGAACGTAATGATTGGAGAGCCAAATGATCCGCTGGTGAAATGCATTCTTCAGTACGCTCAATGCATTGTTTCTCACTAGAATTAGCGGAACTCTCTTCATTAACTTTTAGAATTTTATTTGTTTTTTGAAGAGAAACATTTTTTGAATCAATCACGGCTGACTCTAGTTGATTGACCAATGAGTCAATTATAGTTGAATCATCAGCAATCTATAAAAAAACAAAATCATAAAGTTTCAGTTTCCCGTCTCACGTTTTTTTGCCGATTTATATAAAATTATCCTACCTTTTGTTTTGACGGTAATGGTACTGCTCGCGCCAATAATC